AACGGTTGCGGCTCGATATTTCTTTACTAACTGGCTCTTCATGGTTCCGCACGCTACTGTTTCTTACAGTATGTTCTTCTGTCGAGGATTCATTGATCCACTTGCTGGGATTGTGTGCTGAATATTGATGCTCCAACGCACAGATTCAAGTTCGTTGTTGTGGATGTCCTGTCGGGTTCAGAAACTGTGTTTTGACTGTCTCTGATATCGAAGGATTAATGCTGGTATCAAGCTCAGTGCCAATTATTGTCAGGGTATTTACGCGAGTTATCCACTGAGACAGCAGAGGAACAAGCATCAGGGGAATACAGGGCTGATAATATGGAGGAGTGTTTCTGTTCAACTGCCGAGATAGACTCGGACCTCGGGCGGCATGTTGTTGTGATCGGCAGTCTAAACAATGCTCGCCGCTCGCCTTTCCGTACCTAGATACTAGATACCAAGGAAGCGGAACTTGCTCCGCGTCAAGATGAAGCTTTGACTGCATCGGTACGATCAGGCCGTGCAACTGAACTTTATCAGCCAAAAAATCTCTCGCACTGACAGTTCCTGAGATTAAATGGGCTGTCTTAAACCAGTATGAATAGACTGAGTCTACTTTGGGCATGGCTTGAGCACCTTGAGGTAAGTATATGCGACGACAATGTGTAAGTCTGAGATGAACAGCGGACAACATTATGAACTTATTCAACCAGTCATCTACTAACTTGGAGTACGACAACGAAATTTCGAGAGATGGCCAAGAAGCTGCTTCTCCCCTTCGTCCTCATCCACCACCTCCTCCTACGTGCGTCCAGCATCAGCGGCGCGAGCATGCTCTGCATAGGCTACTGCACGACGTTTGGATCTTGCAAGGCCTATCATGAGCAAGTGTCAGCTCGTTATTCCGAAACTTGGTGATACCAGAGAATACAATCTTCACCGAGCGGTACCGTGATATATGCTTCCGTCAACATTGCAGGGTCGGAAATATCGGCTGAAAGAAGTGGACACAAGCCAGGCCATGTTACGGTAATCGAAACTTTGCTATATCGCTATTGTTCAACTGCTAATTTGAAACCCAGACCATCCAACGTCCACTGAAGACGTTGACCATATTTGGGTCTTAAATCGCCGACAACAGGCATTCTTTTTGCAATTGAAAAAGGCCGGCGGCGATAGGGACTATTGTCAGACTTGTGGTCTTTGCCAAAACCGCAGGCCATATCACCAGCCTCACTACAACGAGAAGCTCTGGTGCATGGGGGTTACTTTGAAGCGCTCTGAGTTGTTCACGGTTGCGTTGTTGCAAGCATTTCTTGAAAGGAAGGAGGGACTCTGTATTACGAAAACCAATTGTCGTGTTTGATCATGGGTCCCGATAGGCGACGACAGGAGGCTAACCGAACAAAACGTGATTATCATGGCCTAGTTCTTACAATTTCCAGAAAACATTTCGGACATCATCTTCAACCACCCAGGATCAAGGTTCAACGGAGAAGAGGAGCGGCATAATTGCACCAATACAACGTTGGTCGCTAGGAGAAGGATGGGATATGAACAAGGATGCTTGACTGACCGTTGCATCGTGTTCTGCACGCGGGGTATTATTAATGATTACCTCTTACAACAACGCACCTACCAACCCAACATGAGAGCGCGGACCTTTTAGCTATCATTACATTTAACGGTTTCGCCTTCAGATGCTGGATCTGTATCTGTATGGCCTTGGATATGGACGTCAGCGCGTTAAGCGCGGCTTCAACCATGGAACCAGAGGCTGTTGGCGCTAGCCTAAGAAACCATTGATAGGTTGGTAATTAATTAACTTACAGCGCGCATTCGGGTCGGGTTCCTGCATTGATGTGAGTGAGATGCACGCACATGCAGTGCAGGGGAATGAATTGTCACGTCCCAAACGCCACTAATTGAGCTACACTACAGTACAGGCTACCCACCATGTCTTGTCAATTAACTAATTAATGGCAGCAAGCACCCATGATGTGACCGATCGACAGAAAAGAGGGAAGAGAGCGAGCTGAGGTGGTATTTTCCCCATACGATGGATGGAGACTGGAATGGCCTCAATAAGGGTTTCCTTGCATTGCATCGCGTCGCGTCGTACTCCGTACCTGATCCTGGGCTAATGTATGGGTCTCTGATCATTTCCTCTACAGAGTATCAGCACTGCAGTATCCGTACGAACTGAACAAGCTGTCCTTCGTTTCAAGTGCAAAATCACGTCATCTGATACATACTGGAAGCATTATCCTTGAGAAGCACATGTCAAGTGACAGGACAGACGTCTCGTCGGTGTGGAGCTGAAGCATGGCATAATGCAATTGATATACGCCGAGCAATTGAGGATCTGCAAATCAAGATCAATTAAGAATTGCGGAGGCAAACGTGATGAGGCCATATACTGTAGAATGTACGTCTTGTCACACTGCACCGCATTGGTATTGCATAACCACATCACACGATTGATTGACTTGCATCGTTATGCTGACTTCAGCTCAGGTCTCAACAAGGCTCACATATCAGTTCTTTATTGTCGTGCACGCACGGCTCGCTGTGATATATCAGAATTGAATTACTCACAGGCCAGGTCTTGGCTTCGTATGTACGGATGGATATGCTTAAGTTATTTTGCTGCATGTGTCACTGGATTCGAGACAGGTGGAGAGTAGAGACTGCAGACCTGCCGGCGCTAGCAACGCCTCATCTTCACCGTTACAGACGAGTTCGCCCTAGGAGGGATCAGGATTAGGATTAGGATTGGGATTGTGACAAGCTAACTAACACGAAGCGAGGCTAGGCGAGACGACGAAACGAGACAATAAGCTCTTCCCTCGACTCCTCTGGTCAACAACGCCTTGTCTATACCACTCGATTTAACCTTGTTGAAATAGTAGACCGAGTACAGTATGATCGCGATGTGACGGCGGTCTTGTTAGCTATCTGTGCCATCCCAGTCTTGCTTGTCAACCAACAGGATCGGGTGAGGCATGTCCTTGCTTACGGTTGAATTGCTACGAATCCTACAATCTGTTGTGTTGCTTCTCTCTCACGTTGTTCTCTTTCTTTTTCCTTTCTTTTGCCTGGCTACTTGGTGGACCTGTCAAAGTTGACGGGTATCTATCCGTTGACCGGGGGGGACCATTTCCAGCCAAATGACCGCACCATCTTTGGTATAGTTTCTCTCGGCCCACAAACTACAACCGTCTCGACCGCTATCCCATGTTACCTTGACGAGGGGAGGGGGTTGAATAAGAAAGATTTTAACAGGAAAGCTGTTGCCTGGCAATCATTCATTTAATCTACGCATACCCCGCCAGGAGAGTTACCTTTCTAGGTACTTGATGATCGGCCTTACAAAACCCTCGAATGGGGAACAATGCCCTGGAGTTTAAGTACGTAGTACCTAGGGCACAGTAGATCGCCCAAACGGGGCAGGTTGGGTTGGGTTGGGCTCTAAGAGTCCCTGGACTTTAAAGACCTTTTGCACTTGGCGACGGTGACAGTGACAGTGATGGAGAGAACCCTTTCTGCATAGAGACGATGGATATGAATGTTGATCAAACAAACCTTTATTCCTGTTGCATCAACATCTGACTTCGGCCGAGAGCTTGACCGACAATGAAAGAAAGAGATTGGTTTCACAATTGACTTTACATCTGATCAAACAGACGAGATGAAGCAGCAAGACTTTCGGGATCAATGTCCCCGAGGATAGGATTTGGCTTGGCTTGTGGCTCTGGGCTAAGCATGGGAGCCTCGTCTCGTCACCGCGTTGTCGGAATTCTCAGGCCAAGCGAATGAGAAAACATGAGAGGTGATAGTGATACACGCCACGCCCTTCCTTCGGAACCGGAACCAAGACTTTCCAGTAACAGGGGATACTGCGGCGTTCCCGGTGACTAGATGCCTATTGTAGTAGACTGAATACTACTCTACTGTTACGATGTCATGTTGGAACATGTTAGTCGCATCGCTAAGTCTGTCAGTTCAACAAGCGTTGCGACCTGCCCATCTCAAAGTTGACTCAGCGCATTACTGAGGCCAAATAATGTTACAGCCGCCCACGTGGTTGTGCTGCACACCCTTGTCTCCTGTCAAATGGTTCTTAAAGAAACTTAGTGCGACGTTGGCGCTGCGGGACGGTAGGTTCATTGTTTGGTTCGTGCGGTGAGACTGTCTCTCGCCTTAACGGTGACTCGACGGATATCCTCTGTTATGAAGATGATCGTTTGACGTTACTGTACTTGGCCATCTTTCAGCAGATCACGCCTAGAACACCATCATCGAGTCGCTATTGTACGTAACTTGGTTCAGGTCACACGACACATACCAGCACATGCTCATATCTACCGAGGTAACGCTATCTCGGCCATTTAGTAACTATTCATTGACCAGGTATATACCACAACCCTCAAGTTTACTAGCGATTTGCTGTCTTGAAGTGGCTAGTTTGATGAGGCTCAGACTTGAACATAGCTTCAAAAGCCACGATGCTACTCAAAGGGCAATCATGTTTCATGTTGCATTCACTATCTTGCTCCATAGGGCCGGATTAACCGAAACTCTTTTCAATGCTATCTAATAAGACCGTCAAGATATTGAAATGAATCATGAACAATCTATTTACCGGGACATCAGCCTTGCGACAGCTAAGCATGATGAAAAGAATACTCTTTTGAGAATGGCACGGAGTGGTCGATACATGCATGTGGATCTTATAATAGCTATACGAGATGATCTGGGCTTTGGCGAGACGGCAGATGACGGAATTACCGAGACATGATTACGTGGTTCGTGATGCTATGCCCATGGATCTCTGAAGCCAGGCCTTGGCCTCTGACGCACTGCCGTGGAAGGTAGAATGCTACCAGGTTAGCAGTGAGATTCATCGCAAGACAAGCAGTTGTAGGACGGCTTCACCGATCGCACGAAGAGCGTATGTAGTCGCCAAAGTTATATCGCGAAAGGTCTCATGTCATTAGACCACTCAACTACCAGATCTATCGTTCAACCATGACACGCACGTCACCGACTGCTGCCCTCGCCATCTTCTTGAGTAGCGTTCTCTCATCTGCCTCTCTGTAACGTTCCCATGAGTCCAAGCCCTCCTTGGCCTGAATACTCAAAGTTTCATATCCCTGACGGATAACCTCTGTAACCTCCTGCGTCGTCAAGAGACTGGGCTTGCGACGGTTTCCACCACCCTCCGATAGCATCTGGTTGTAGTGCGCGCTGACGTTGATGAGAGTATCAATAGAGTTGGTGTTACGGTTAGCCAAGCGATAATTCTCCTTGAATTTGGTGAGAACCTCGCCCGATTCGACGACCTTGTAAAAGAGATCATCGTAGTCGGCGGGTGTAGGGAGGAAGGCTTCGCCAGCCGATAGGGAGAGGGCGATAAGATTAACGACGTGATCGAGGAGGGTGTCAATGTGCGGCAGATCCTTGAGATCGGATGTATATGTGGCGAGGAAGCGAACAATAGAAAGCAGAGACCGGAAGAACTCAGGCCAGTGGTACTCGAGGCGTGTGCGTGTGCGAGATAGATACGAGATGATACGGAGCATGATTCCGAAGCAGAGTGTGTAGAGGCTAACATCGAGTCGGCGGCGGAGGTTGTGGTTAACGGCATCGATCATGGTGTCGAGGATGGATATGGCGAGGACTCGCTCGCCTTTGACAAGGGGAAGGTAAGGTTGGCGTTGACGGCACAGACGTACTGCCACACGAGATTCATCGCTGCAAATGCGCTTGCAAATTGTAGGATCTTCGATAAGGAGGCGGAAAACCATGAGATTAAGATGAGCGTAGTAGGTAGCTCGAGGTGAGAGGTAGGCGTGCTGGAGGAGGTATGAGGTGAGTGAGAGGTAGCTAGCAATGGGTTGCTCAGCGCCTGGCTCTGGTGCCAGTGTCACCAAGTTGAAGCAGAAGAGCTTGTTGGCATGAGTAAAGTCATATGTCGCTAGTAGAATAGCAGCCTCTTCCTCCGGTCTGTCATGGCGTTAGTCAAGTTGTGAGACGTCGAAGGCTTGATAAACTTACAGTTTGGTGAAGAGAGCCTTGGCTGTCTCGACATCGTACACTGGGTTCTTCACAGGCTTTGGTCCGGGAGCAATCGCGCCAAGTCCAATCATGTTAAGGGTAGCGCTGAAGGTCCAGCCTTCAGGAAGATCATCCTGGATAGTGATATATCGAGATCGAACGGTTTGGCAAGCTTGTCCCACGGCGCCGACTATCTTCTGGATGACAGCCTCGTTGACAAAGTCGTTAAGTCGTTGTTGGTAAGGGTTCTGGAACTCGAATTTATTGTAGTTGGCTAGCAGGCCTAGCAATGTGAATGGTTGGAGTACTTGGTCTGGCGTGTCTGAATCTTGGATGAACTTGCAGATGGTTAGTTGAACATCTTTCTTCCTGCGGATGGTAACTGTACCTTCATGACTGCGGGAAAGAGGTCTCTTTGGATCAGGTACGTCAACAGTGTTGTTTGGTACGCTCCAGCTGTCACCGCCAGCAGCACCTCAATTGCTTTGTATCGAACGTCCACTACACCAATGTCAGTTCAGCCACTATATTGCGGGAGCTGAGTCCTTACAGTCCTTGCTATTTCTTATTATAGCCTCCAAGGCGCTGATGAACTCGGTAAAGACGGAATCGATATGGTCGAGTCCTGCGAGCAGAACCATGATGTCGGAGCTTGGATGCGGGTACCTCTTGGAAAGGAGGCATGATAGGAAGACACTGAGCGTCTAGCAGGTGTCAGAACCAATTCGTATGTTGCAATCGGGCGGTCAATGGCTCACATCCAGCGCGTGTAGCTGCGCGAGGCTATGCACGCCCTTGATCGTAGCTACGGCCCTTGCAAAGAGCTCCTGTGTGCGAACATCGAAGGACAAGACATGGCTCGGGCTCAACTCGTTGAGGATACGTCTCAAGGCGGCACGATCGGGTCTAAGGAGGAAGAACTCGGTCCAGAAGCCATCGGTCTTCTCTTCATCGTCGTAGTCATCCTAATTCGGAACAAGGGCGGATCAGTCGGGGCGCGGGCGCATAGTTGGAGGTCTGCGAATATCTACCTAGAAGAGGAAGGCAATTTAGTTCATGATGGCAGTAAAGAGCAGGACAGGGGTAGAGGTCGCTCACCTTGAAGAGAGAGTCATACAACTGTATGATCTTCGGGGTGAAGACCTCGGGCTGAGGCTGACGAGTGAGCGGTGACGCTTCCATAGGAGGGGAGCTGAAGGTTACGAGCTGAGATAGTGTAAGAGGAGGTAGAGTTGCGATAGAGAACTGGGCCATGTTCGCTTTATCACGTGCGCGCTGTAGGTTAACTTGGACGTCTTCTATTGAGGCCCCAGAACTGTCAACAATAGAGCAATTCAACACCAAAAGTAGTTATAACGATTTTGACTGTTCTTTGTTTCGATTGAAAATGTGTATTCTTTGTTTTGCATATGTAGCTTGGGCTGATGGAATTGTTTCAGCTGAGAGGTCTTAGAAACAGTTGCAGGACAAGTGTTCGTAACGCGATTGTGGCTTGCGTAATCGTTATTATACGAGGCACTTTAATTGGGAGTTTCGTGTTGTGAGGGATACTGATGCGTTCAACGTTGCATTCAATCACAATAATCTGGACCTATTTCCTTGAAGTTTTGTGGCGTGTCGAAGAGAAGCTGATCTCGGTAGTGTTGTCTAGGGTGGGCAATACCTATCAGACAATGATATCTAGGTATCTACGATCCTCCATGGCGACTTTCTGATCAAACACCCTATTCCTACTTACAAGAAAACTTGTATGAAGTTAATTAACCAATGAGGTACCACTCTTCTGCTATGAGACAACAACACGTGGTTCTTGCGCTGGTCATATTTAGGATATCCTGTTACCACGTCGACATTATTACTGGCAGCGGGTTGAAAGATATTATGCCAGGCACTATTAATTATTCTATGCAGCAGGAAATGAATAGACTCATGTGCCAGGCTTCTATACTAACTGGGAGTTGCTAAAGCTGCTTGTTGAACTACCCACGTGTCAAGTTGTAGTGTAAGTTGTGGACGAGTTATACGTGAATACCCAAAAGACGTCGATTAGCAAGAACTCAATCTTTTAGTCACTACCTACCGGCCATGGGATCATTGGATAGATCAGAGAGTGGCTTAGATACGACCAGTCAGCATTCTGATCATTCAGAAAAGTTGTGCAGTTGCGTCTATGGGATCGCTTGCTACTATCCGCCGCCGCCGTCGAACCGACAACGACACATCCCTGGCCAGCTAGACTTATATAACTACTGACCGTACAATATAGTGGCTTAATATACCACTTTTGAAATGTGATCTCCTCATACTGTCTGAATATTGCATTGGCATTCTTTGGAAAGCTCACGCTGCAGTGGACTGTGAGTAAAGAGACATGTTGCTCAAGATCTGTCCCCGGGATATGCAAGCGCGATAAAATTTGAGCTCAGAAACTTGAAAGGTTTAAAAACGAATCTTGAAAAGCGTGGTATTTGTATTTATGACATACTCACACAGGTGTATATCTCTGTTGACTTACCACTTCGCAATCGTCCAATACGTACCCGGATGACAACAATGAATAGCATAGTAGTAAAGCAAGCACAAAGGAAGGTACTCAACTGGCATGATATAGCGGATGAAACAGAAGTAAATTTTTCTAGCATAGTCTGGGCTATCGATCAATGAACAGATTGAGATCACTCAACAGCCATCAGTCCGGGCCAGTGAGCGGAGTGGTGAACTACCTGTTAGTTGAGAGACAACACACATATCCCAATTATGCTGTAGGGGAACAAACAGCCATGCAGCTGCATATCGCACTCACCAACTGTCCATCGGCCATAGCCTCATTACCATGATTGATACGAGTGGAAGATAGACGCTCTAGTTCTTGGCTAGAGTAGTTGCTTAAGAGGAAGAGAAAGAAAACATACACCCCTGGGATCCATGTTTGTAAGTAATGGTGGCGAAGTATCGGGAACTTCTTACTCTGCTTGTCAATCACAGGGATCCACATAGTATTAGGACAAGTCGAATGCTGTATTGCGGAAGTCCTGTCGCGTCCTTGTCGACAGTTTTCTTCCGTTTGCTGCATTCAACTGGAAAGTCGTCGTAAGTAGGCCTGTGGTTGAGCAATATGTAGAGTGAACCCGAGTAAACTCAGATTCAACTGTGCCTTGTGATATTAGGAGTGTTCTTGATTGCGGTTGTATCTTCTTCGCTAACTAAAGTATAAGCGTTATGGTGTCGGAAGAATTAGCTGCCGTCAACATAAGAAACGAGATAACTCAGTCACTTTATGTTGGCTTAGACCAGCACTTAGACGACTTTATGATAGTAGCATAAGCCATAAAGAACAATTCTTGTGTTACTCACCTGACAAGGTTGCCGCAGAGGGGGACGCTTAGCCTCCGGGCCCAGGACGCCGATGAAGTGATGTCCAGGACATTATAGACATGTTCCTTGTTCTGTTGCCGACGTTACTTGGAAGTTCCTCATGATGTCTAACTCTACCTTAAGAGCTGGATATGTCGCCACGCTGGAGAGCTTTGAGTAAGGCACATGGTCCTCAACATCTGTCCTATTGTCTTCAAGCAAGTCTCTGTTAACTGTTGACAAGAGCAACTTCGATAATCAACGAGGTCTCAGTTCACAATTACAAACTATTCTTCAACAAGCAATAACCGCGTAATTGGTTTAGTGGTAAAATTCTCCGTTGCCATCCAAGTATCGGGGAGCCCTGGGTTCGATTCCCAGATTACGCATCGCAATCGACGCTTCAACGTCGTGATCCTTTTGATTTTTGCTTCTCTTTGGCGCTGCTTGTATAGCTGTGGTGTTGAGGCGGTGATGGTGACGGTCGAGGAGGGAGGCGCACGAGAGCACTGTCGGGCGTTAGCATCTTGCATTTTAGTAATCGACGATCAACCTAGTATGGTCCGTTTGCAATTCGAAAGGGTCTTATCGTTCTTATTCGAGTTTGGTGGAAATGAGAGTATGTTATCGTTGAGTTCAGTCTTGGCCGAATTAGCATTCACGCGGAATTGAGTTATCGCCCGTACCTTCCGTGTAAGTTGCAATGCCCAACCAACCTTCACCTTCTTATGTGATTGGCCGAACTCTTCTAACACGTATAGTTACCTCTAGCAAGCAATCGAATACAGGCAAGTACCTAGTATTAAACTGAGTGCTTGGCCAAAGAACAAAAGTTGCAAGCTGCTGGGCATAAGGCTTGTTTCTTGACGAACCTAATGCTTAATTGTTTGCACCTCGCAGCCAATGCCACGCGGTACCGACATTGTCGAAAATTGCCTGGCTCTCCTCTTTTCCCTACATCGATTCTGCTCTTATGACCGAAAACCTGTAGGTATGTTGAGGGTAACGTGATTTGTTCCGAAGAATGCAACCAGTGCTAAAAACGTCAATGGACGACATTGGCCTAAACAACGTAACTATTCATCGACGACCCTGGATTAGGAAAGAAAGACTCTCTCAGGATTGACAGTGCAGTGATGTGCATCCATGAGAGCAGGGCAGTAGATGAGTAGCCTATTAGTGAGGACATTCACAGCTTGGGGCTATCAAGGACTTGCTAGGACTCCAGCAACTGATTATGACACTCCTTATGAAGTGCCTTTACTCACTTCGAGTGACTTTTCGGATGTCTCCAGGTAGCAGTAGTATGAGGAATACATCTCGTGTTCGAATGATCTTTAGTCTCAGGGGTGAATTTATTCCTTCTATCATTTGCAAAAACAACTTAGGGAAACTTTAGAACATTGGCAAAGCTTAGTGTTTCTAAGATCCCTGGTCTCATAGACGTTAAATGTCTTAAACTATGCTGTGACAGCTGTATCCCTTTCAATGATACAGTATAGTGTCCTTTGGACTTAGAACCTGCAGTATCTGGCTGATAGCGGTGCTATACACAAAAACATGATACCTAGTTTCCATTACATCACAACATCATCCTGGCAGCCCTACAAACGGGTCATCCATCTCCAGAATGATCGTCCCCTAGCTAAAGAAGAACCTGCATTAAAACACGGCAGAGAAAGCAAAGGCCCACGAGTTTAAATCAGATCGCGAGACATCAAAACGGCGTTTGGGTATGGCCAGCGTCGGCACAGGCGGCTTGCACCGGCTGAAGCAGGGGATACACCTTGTCCCCGTACGAACCGTTGAGTAATAGTTAGCTGAAAGAAGGGATCCCTTTATTTAATCTCGTAATTGCAAGATTCAAAAGTCTGGGGAAGTGGAGGATCTTTGGATCTTGCATCGGTATTGTTTTCTCTTGGCAGTAGTTGTGTAAGTGATTGTCTTTTTGGTGTTTTATATAGAGGCAGTTAATTGGTGAGTTCTAGAAGAACGTGAGAACTTTAGCCACCACATACAATTGGGGTCAACGAGTTGGAGATAAACGCCGAGAATTTAGGCAAAGTCCTGTGTACAATGTTCTGCCAGCATATAAATGCACGGCATGTGAACAAAGCACTCCCATGCCAGACAAGGCTCGGGACTTGTCCGTGCAAACGAAACCACTTCTCCTTTGGAAGTAACCAAAGAGGAAGACTCCTCGATCGAGGCAGTGCAATTCAATCGGATTCAAGACAAGAGCACCGGGGAAGCAATGAACAGTACCCAAGGGGAAGGTGTACAACTTCAACTTCCTCCTTTCTTCCTTCACCCCTCGTCAGTTGCTCTTGCTCTTGCTTCCCTTCTCCGCACGTCCCCAAAAATGATAACGTTTCTGTCCCCTCCCCGCTCATCCCCGCACAGTCTCCAATTTCTATCTCGTAAAAAATACGTACAAGTAATTGGTCCCAATGGATTCGCTTGCAATTAAACTTATCCTTCTTTCTCGGACCCGCGCAGTATCTCCTTGAAGTTCCAGGGAAAGATAGTTTATCAGGTGGAGTTCTGGGTCTATGCCGTTTCTGGGGTGCATGCTCCGGAGCACAAGTACTGTACTTCAGTGACTTCCATCCATGTGTTGGCTCGAGCGAGACGCCATCAATGGATGTTTTCTTTGAGGGTTTTCCATATATCGCGCGAGTTAGAGAAACAGGTCACGATATGACATGATTCCACTTCTGTTGGCTTTCTCTCTCGTAATAGTCTCTGGTGAGTTTCACTTCAATCTGAAGCTCTTCAAGCTATGCTTTGCTTCAGTTATATGTATGCTTACCTACTTGGTGGATTCCATTACCTATTACCCCAGGATACCCGCCGTTACCGATCGTGCTTGACTCTCTTGCGCGTTCAATTTGGCTTTGTACGTAACAAGATCCGCTTCAACAAGGAGACCGCAACAATACCAGATTGGACCATTGGCTACTGAACGCAGCAGTCGAGTCTTGACAAGGCACGTAAATGTCTTGTTGAGACGCGACCGAGGTTACATACACTCTGTCAAGCATCTTCCTTTCGAATCAAAATCAAGCTCCTGCATATCAATTGCATTCCACTCTCTTAGATTATAAAGGTCTATTTTGGACCAAGGTCATAGTCAGATGTAGCGGTAAACTGTTTCCAACATTCTCATCAATACATTCTATCCAATTTCCTGAACTCCACCACGATTCTGTCTTGATTCACACGGCGCACCTGAAGGGCGTGACCATCTCCACACATGTCAAATTTGAGTCGTTGTAGGGCGCGGTTGACAGATGCTAAAATAGCTGATATACTGGATAAAAAGTTGTCGCAAAATAATCTCAGATACCTCAGTTGTTATTGATTAAAGCCAGCCGTTCGTTTGTCAGCTTCGACTTGAAGCGCATGCTTTTTCGCCCAAACATGATGCCAGGAGTCAGTCTCTCACAAGACCCATCCCTATTCAACCAAATCATCATTCAAAGGATCAGCACACTTCACCCAGAGGAAACCGTCAAAGTCATGCAAAGTGACATGTTATTATCGTAATTAACTATAAGACATACAGGAGAGTGGATATATGGTGTGCGATACTCCAATTCGAACACACTAAGCAAACAGACTTCCAGCACCCGATCAATGGCTTACATGATCTTGTTGAGGAATCGTCGCCAGGCAGGCCAAGTGGCAACCTTGGCGCGGTAAGCGTTGATCTCCTCCCAGTTGTGCTCACGTCGACCAGTGTCGACGTCGATCTTATCAATGGACAGCCAGCCCTCACGCTTCCAGAGGTAGCCAATAGCCCAGAAGGCAAGGACAACAGGGAAAGCAAGGTAGGAGATGAAGAATCCCTCGACAGTGCCCATACCGTCGGAACCAGGGGGGGCAACAATGGCAACGTAAAACTGAGCGATAAGGACGAGAACGATCAGACCGAGACTGAAGTACGAGCCAGCAACACCAAAGGCAGCCTTGAAGGGGATCTCGTCCAGAGAGTGACCCTGCTGAGCCCAAGCCTTACGGAAGCGGATGTGAGCGAGGCAGATAGAGCCCCAGGTGAAGAGGGTTGAGAGACCAGAAAGAGCCAGGAGCCAGTCGAAGATCTCTCCACCCTTGGGGTCCAAGTTGACAAAGGCGATGAAACCCATGAGGATGTGGACAATGACGGAAATGAGGGGACGACCACCCCGGTCAATGTAGGTGAACACCTTGGGAGCATAGCCGTTCTGGGCCATGGCAGTCAGAGTACGGGAACCACCATAAACACACGACACACCGAGGGACAGGACCGACACGAGAATGATAACGTTCATGAAGTGGTTCAACCCATTGAGGCCGGAGTACTCGCCAACAAGGACGAAGGGGGAAGCCTTGGCGTTGGAGTAACCGGAAATATTGAGTCGGTCATCAGTGCAGCTGATGAGGAGACCGATGAAGAAGAGACCAAGAACGAAGAAGAGCGTAATACGCCAGAAAATCTGCTTGATGGCACCGGGGAGGGCCTTGGTGGGGTTCTCAGACTCGGCAGCAGCAAGACCAACCAGCTCAGTACCAGCAAAGGAGAAAGCAGCAGTGACGAAGACTGAACAGAATCCCTTGAAACCGTTCTTGAAAGCACCGGGGTCCTCATTCCAGAGACGGGTACCCCAGTACTCGTTGTAGCGGCCGTTGTCGGGGCCGCCACCACAAACAAGAACGAGAGAAATGAACATGAAAGCAACGGTAGCACCAAGCTTCAAGCAAGACGACCAGAACTCTTCCTCAGCATAACCAATACCACCAAAGATATTGATGATGATAATGGCAACGAGGAAGATGGCGATAAAGATTCCTGGTGAAAGCTCCTCATTCCAATATTGGATACAGACAGCGCAGACGGTTAATTCGAGTGGTAGGACGGTGGCCCATTGTGCGACGTAGTTCCAACCCATGGCGAAACCCCAAGAAGGATCGATGAAGCGAGACGAGTAGATGTAGAAGCCACCGTTCACGGGATACATGACGGCAAGTTCACCAAGAGCGTAGACTATCGAACAACTCGTCAGTTTTCTCTTCATTTACCAAGCCGAGGTGAGTACATACCGACGTTGAAGATCATGGCACCAATCAGAATGAAATCAACAAGAACAGATCCAGGACCCTGTATCAAGTGGTCAGTAACATGCAACAGCAACAGCAACGCAAGAAACATAGACTTACGCCATTGTAGAGGGCTTTTCCTGAACCGACAAAGAAACCTGCACCGATAGAACCACCGATGGCGATCATCTGAAGATGGCGGGGCTTCATGCGGCGATCGAGTTCGGCATCGCCAGTGAACTTGCGACGCTGGAAGGACTCGAGCGTGAGACCATTTCGGGTCCAGTAGCTCTCCTCCTGGAAGGCAAAGCCGGCGCCCGTCTGGACATCTCCAGCCTGCTCGGTGACTGTGGTGCCCTTCTCCTGGCCGACATTAGTCGGGTTGTCGCTGGAGCTCTTTGACTCCATGTTGGATATTCCCCTGCTGGGTAACTCTGTGAGAGTTATAGGGATCAAAGATTGATGAAAAGGTCAAGGGACCTTGAGGAGAAGAAGGAGCGATGATGATCGAAATCGAGGGCGAACAAGGAGGGCAACGATGCTGCTTATATATAAGTCGAGGAGGAAAGGACAACAGCCAGAGCGAACTAGGGTCTCATTCGACTCGGTGCGCTAAAGGCAACAAGGTCGCCATTGTGGGAAGAATCCGTTCGACTTGAGCTTCTAATGAGGCCCCATGTTTGAAACCAGACCCCCCTAGTTTCCTGCTGCGTCGCCGATCAAGAAGAAGCTGTTAGGCTTGGAGCAAGTAAGCGGGTGGATATTAGAGAGGAACGAGAGGGCCTGAATGCCAAGAAGCGCGATACGGACGGAGGAACATGGATGGTTGGGGTAGGTCCAAAGTCTGAGATGGCGGAGCGGAGTCTATCAACGGCATGAGGGCCAGGGCCAGGCGACGGAGAGGAAGGAAGAAGAGGCGCCCGATTCGACAGATCCAACGTGGATGTCACGGTTATACGCACCCCTTGCTTGTTTCGTGGGAAGGAAGGAAGATTGAATCCTCGAATGGGCTGCACTGAGATGAGATTTGGAAAGAGGCAAAAGGACTGGGGAAGTTGCACATGTCTGTGCTTTCCGTGCCGTGTTTCTCGACAGAGCATACGGATATCCGTACACGGGTCGCACATGCATCTCCTGTGAGGACTGCACCTTCCCATTCCTGGCCAGCGGGCAATGTGAGCTTCAATGCTTCCATCTCACCAGAACGAGCAGACAATAGCTACTGGCCAGAATCGGTTCTGCGACATTTCAGAAGTACGACCAGGGGAGCACAAGCCATGCGAGACGATCAACCTAATTGAAGGTAAAGTGGAGAGAATTGGAGAGAACCCTCACCCCTGTCAAACGCTAATGCTTACTCCACTCGAGAGGGAAGGTACCGGTACATTGCAAAGGTACTGTCCTTCCTTGATGGATTCCTTCATGACCGGTCAAGGCAAGAGCGCGGTTCTGTCGCTTCTTTTCCCACTGCGTTAATCTCAGAAGAGTCAAGCCTTTTACCCGCCTGCCTAGTGTTTTCAAGGTGGGATTTGTCGACCAGAAGAGGCCCATACAAGAATATGAACGCATCATGTTACTGTGACGATACTGGCTACTATTCATGACTTCTCTATGGCAGTTCAATTGTTGCCAAGCATTTGTTATCTTTCAGTCAGCAGAAACGCCGAAACGCAACGGCTCGTGCACTGAATGCGAGCTTTCATTCATCTTCCTGGACGCAATGCTCGAAAGATGGGGGCTCATAAGGCAACCCCCAACGCTGCCTAGGTGGTAGACTTTGTGGAGTTGAAGTACGAGAAATTACAGTGCTCGCATTGCCACGTTGGGTGTCATGCCAGATAGCATCTCGACACCGTTTATGTGGTCTTTGGCCACTTGGTTACCGAAACTATGGCTCAACATGATACCGGGAACCTTGGCAATCTATATTGATGACACCACAACTGTAAGATTACAGTACACCCCACTGATCTTGTCGAGTGATTTCATTACAATGTTTGGTCATTTCAAACCTTATGGTTTCTACATTTGCGCGGTGCCATCCATGCTCCTGCTCGGAAATCGTCATCCGACTCACGAGAGGACAGATCTCTTTGGAACACGACGTGACAGGTTATTTGGCGCCTCTGACCCCATCTTGCAGGATACCACAGGGGAGAAGCGTGCCGAGAAAACAGCTCTCTTCTAGAACAGTGGCGTATCGTGGAAGTGTGCGTCGCATTAAAATATGGCTTATCTTGGCATATCAAGATTGAACGCTCCAGTTGGAGGAAAGACAGCTGAACTCTTGTGCTGACAGGCTGGCCATAGCTTGCACACCCCGGGTAGTTTTCACCGTGGTGCGACAACAGTTATCTTTTGGAGGGGAGAGGGCGATAACACCAAGACCAAACGAGAATCTATAGCTGCCAAGTCGGCAGCCCCCTGATTGCGGTCCGCGGTTGTTTTTACCGCCGCGGTTGTGGCTTTCTTCTAGAAAGATTCTACTCTGGATTTGTGCCCTCATGTATCCGCACGAATACAGGGCATCTCCAAGTCAAGTCAAGATGTCGAAATCTCGAGATCCGCAGACGTTGAATTTCAACTACGGGGTAATACGTAACAGTTTGCTCTCAATTACCATTACCCCGTGGGCGCATCGCCGACAATCTGGGGATGGCTCCATACTCTTTACCCAGTGGCCCGTTCAGAACAAGAAAGCAACAGCCTTTGAGGAATTTCCCCAGCGTTTGTACGTAATACAATCCAATCCTTTTTGAGACCCTGTTTTTGAAATGGTGCAACGAGAAAAGACAGGCCTTGACAAGGCAGGGCAGGGTCCTACCGTCTACGATAATTGACGGGCTCGGACATGACCGGCCAGGTACCCTTGCAGCCCCCGCAAAGACAATCTAAGCGTTATCAAGCGCAGCCCCTGACCTTGGAACCGAGTTAAACTGGACAGTATTTCTCGCAGTGAGACACGCGACTCAGACCAGAATGACTGTAACAAACAGTCATGAATCTAACGGTCGCTGATACGCTTGCTCGGGATGATGTCGGATCTTCTAAATGCAGTTGCCTGCTTTTACCCACGTGACGCCAACTGTTCCCCGAACTGCATGCCCCTGCTTCACGGGCCGATGAGAGAATCAAGGTCATATCTCAATTTGAATGGCCTGCGGCGTATTCTCATTTAACTGGACAGTCTGCTAAGGTTGTTGTTAAGCTTAGTGCGACGAGCCACATCAAAACATAGGGAGTTAAAAGTTCGTGCATGAGATCAGAGGAGACTACCCAGGTTGGAAATCTCCGTATTCGAGTGCGCAAAGTACAATTACATCCATATCTTGAGGCACTTATTGGTTGGTTCAAGAAAGAATACTACCATGTCATGTCAATGTTTATCTTGTCAGCAAGGCTCACTCATCATGGGCATTAAAGCATACAGGGAGACTTCTTTATCCTGCCAAAATAATCGAATGCCGATGTCATGCAAGAAGGCCTCGGCCATTATTCGAGAAGACATCGATGCAGAGATGTACTGTAAAACAGCATTGCGCATAATTAGTCGAATGGGATAACTATCCGAGTCTGACATACATATTCACTAGATACCCAATACGGCAGGTTGTGCAATAGGTACAAGTCAGAACTCTCCGACCTTCCACTCCGGGAGCCTTCTTGCGCTGCTGACCCCTGATACGCTGCTCTCTACGACGTTATCACTTGGCATAGAGCGATAACGAACTCTTACTTGTCGAGGCTGGGTCGTTGCATATAAAACCCCCCCGTCCCGCCAAGACTTTGGTCAACCAAAATGTTGGTTGGCAAGATGACTTTTTGTTAGGTTAGTGCTACCTACCATCTATGTATGTTTCATCAAATGTACGGATACTGTACAGTAATGCGAGAGACTCATCCTATCTTTGGCCCTGGTTGCGCGTCCCTCCTGTCGATCTCGTTGCCCCTATCATCTCTGGAGCCCAGTCTGTTCGACCCTGCAGTTTGTGCTTGTAGCAATACCCTGAGCGGTATCCCATCCTTCTGGACGAATGCTTGCACAAATCACCTCGCCGGATCACTACATTAGTGACACGATGCGATGCCCGTGCTGGTGTAGGCAGAGTCCATGCATCGGCCTTATCTGACGGATCCTATACTGGACGGGCAGTTCTTACAGGGAGGGGAGGGTCCGTGGGGTTTGTCGTTTGGCGGCTTCCATGAGTATGCAGGGCCGAGGGTCTCTTGCGGGCGTAGCGAAGAAGGGTCCATATGGTAACCTAACGCTGACCCTTGAACCACTCGGTTGTGTCGTTGATGTGCCCCATATCATGTTTGTTGCTTTTGGGCATTGTCAAAGAGCTCGAAATCGACTTATTCTGATCAGAAGATATCGGTACATCTTGCTAAATGAATTGAAGAGAACCACGGCGTCGTTTATCGGCTCTAGTGGCTTGGCCACGGCAGTTTGCAGGGCCAAGACGGGATCTTGGTTCGGGGCAATCAAGATCCAATTCTTGGTATTGCAGGGTAGTGATTTATGTCTCAGCCGCATCTGGATGCCCAGAACGCCGAGAAATTGGCAGAAGGATGGAATTGTTCTGAAGATGAGCTTGGTTTGAGTTCGTTCGACCGCAACATTGAGTCGAATAATTTTTTGAACAGACAGCATCAACGGTATTCGTGGGGTTTGTTGAAATTGTACCTGATACCATCAGGTTTGCGAAACATACACAACCGTTTGTTGAAGTGGCGTGATGGAGTGAGAAGCAACACCAGGTATACAATCACATCAAAGATCGCTAACATATCTTTCTTAGATACTCCTACATACCAGTCTTCCCCTCATTGTTCAAGAGAAGGTCCAGCACTGGGAGAGGTGTCGATACAAAGAAGCATCCTTTTGGTCTCCTCTGTAAGAAAAACACTTGTGATATGATTAACGTATCGAAATTTCGCCGCCAATAGTTCACATCGGACCCTACCTACATCACGGCGAGCAACTAAGCCTGGATATCTCATAGCGATATATACAGAGTCTATTTACGATTCATAGTCGTGATAAGGATATCGGGACATAATAGTTACTGAGACCATACTCTCTACCGTCCAGTACGATATTCTGACATGGGGAATCTCAGAGCTAAATAATCGACAAAACCAGAATAAGTTGTTTCATTGATATCATGTCTTGTTACGGGCGACTTTGGGTCTTACTCAAACTTCCAGGTGCCAATACCTGGAGACATCGTGACTCTAGCATGAGTTGACTACTCTGTTTAATACACATCTGATAACAATATGCTATCAACAGAAGGAAAAGTCTCCCAACACTGAATCATGTAATCAAGATTGGGTACCACAATAACGTTAAGCATTCGAAGTTTGAAGCAAAAAGAAGTGATCGTATCAGCCAGTTCATTGGAAGAGTCTAGACGTGCCATGCAAAGCCACCGGGAGACAAGCCGCACTGGAATGGGGTATATCTCTTAAACGCAGGGTGCTGTAGTAAACTAGTTACTTAGAATGGCAAGCTTTTGAGTCCTACGTTTATGAATTGGCATGGTAGAACTTGGAACGGACGTTGTTCTGGACAGTGTTGAATGACTGCCGGACAGAGCGGTACTTGGAAGGTTGAACTAGATAACAGTTGACAAGATGGATAGTACCTAGCCAATCAGTCTCGAGTTAAGCTCCCTTAACGAATGTAATGAAGATAACATCGAGTTCGTTATCGAGTACCCCGCAACTCTCTCTACAGGTCATACTGTGAACCTGCTCTAGATATTACCTCAATCTCCCTTGCCCGCGGTGCCCTTCCGTCTTCGAATTAAGTGGCGTATTATCTCCCTTGCTCAACGGTTATCGCCATGTCAAGAGACCACTGATAAGCTCAAGATTCCAACAGCACGGTACGATCAACGGGAGCGATGCCGTAGCACTAGAGATAGGTAGTCACAAACTCAAATGCGACCACTCGCGACCTCGACCAACCAATGATACACAACTCGCGACGAGTCTCGACCTGATAGAACGTGGCTTTCTAGCTAATTTGAGTTAAGCTGAAGCCGGGGTAGAATCTGGGGTAAACTCATAGGTGTATGGTAGTCAAAAACATATGGTCATAGTTCATAGTATTTCTGTAGGCCTGCTATTCCTTCAAGTGTTGTACTCTAGATAATTAAAGCTGAGATAGGTTATCATAGCCTCGCGGATACATTCCCGTAGAATACAATTATGGTAGGATTGTCAAGATCATCGCTTTCCCCAAGTTCCCCGGATTCTGCCCTCAACCAAAGCTTTAGTTTGCCGAAGTCGAGAATGGATATAAAGACCCATGATCGTCATCTCCAAGTAGCTTAAATCCTCAGAACCAGAACTCAATCGTCTCGCATCTTCTATCCCCATCACTATATCCTTGATTAGTTTGAAGCTATATCAGCTCCTTCATCATGCGCCGTGAAAGTCTTCACGATGTTGCTGCCCAACCCGGAGTCATGGAGAAATCACGAAACTCCATGACAAAGGAAGATGGCGTTGATCTCCATGCTTCACGAAGCATGGATGAGACACAAGCTATCGAACTTCAAGAGGGAAAACACGGACAGTTCCACCGATCCTTTACACCTCGCCAAGTCCATGTAAGTCCATCCCTTCCCAACTACGATAGCCCCCACGAAACTCCATACCTAACATATACCTTCCCTAGATCATCGCTCTAGGCTCCAACATCGGCTCAGGTGTCTTCATCGCCACTGGCAAAGCTCTAGCTACTGGTGGTCCAGGAAATATGGTGATCGCCTATTTCATGGTGTGCACTTTGTTAGACTGCTATACACCAAGATAAACCACCTTAGGTCCTAAGGTAGCTACTGCTTTTGGTGGTCCAACTCACTTGCGTCTGGGCTGTTCTGCAGTCATTGTCCGAGATGACGATTGCTTTCCCTGTCTCTGGCAATTATATCGATTATGCGGATCGCTGGGTTGACCCTGCATTGGCTTTCGGTGCTGGTTTTGCTGAATGGCTTGGTTAGTATTTTCAGCAAAATCCAAGTATACACAAGCAATTCTAATATGTGACAGGCTGGACGGCAATTGTCTCTGCAGAGACAGGTTTCTTTCATATTCTGGTCGGGTATTGGTCAAATGGATCATTCCCTCTGGCCGCATCACGTAAGTGATTTGTCTTTTGAATCGCGTTCATAACTCAGCTAACACAGACTGTAGTCAGTATCTTCATGTTCGCCTGCCTTGTTATCTTCCTCCTCCCGAATACCGTCTTCGCCTGGTTCGAATACGTAACATCTCTTATTAAGATCTTTCTCTTCTTGATTATCATTACTTTATCTTTGGCCTTGGTCCTCGGAGCCGGCCCGAATGGCTATGTTCATCATGGCGAGACATGGACTGAACTGCCGGCGTTCCTAAATGGCTTCTCAGTATGTTCAAATATCTGTTTCAAGGACAAGTTTGGACTGACAACTCCATAGGGATTTGCAAACTGCGCTCTTCTTGCTACCTGGGCCGTCGGTGACCAGGTCTTCATTGGCATCATGGGCGGCGAAGCAGAGAGCCCACGCTTCTCTCTCGCACATGCAACCAAGCTTGTGCCCTTCCGAGTCAACTTCATCTACATGCTCAGCGTCGTCTTCATCACTATCCTCGTTCCCTCCAACGACGAGCGACTCCTCGGTGGAGGCGGTGTTGCCGCATCGCCTTTTGTCGTCGCCGTCCAAGACTCAGGCATTCCCGCTATCGCTTCCATTCTTAACGCTGGAATGATCTGCGGTGTCCTCGCTATCGCTGCCGAATCAGTGTATCTCTCTTCAAGAATATTGAGAACCATGTCTCATCAAGGCCTCATCTCGACACGGCTCGCCAAGGTCGATGACAAGGGACGACCCAGACTTGCTCTGATCATTACTTCCGTGGTTGCTGTTGTCCTTGGATATATCCAGCTGTCTGGTAAGTGACTTCCGACTGGTATAGAGATCTTCATAAACTGATAATAACCTAGCTGGCGGCTTGACTGTCTTAAACTGGTTGATTTCCATTACAAGCGCTTCCTTCTTCAGCAACTGGATCATCATCTCTTTTACCAACTACCGATTCCATGCTGCCCTCAAAGCCCAGAACGACCAGCTCTTTTCTGAAACCTATGCTTGGAGGTCAAATGCTTGGCCTCTAGCACCGACCTGGTTGATGTTGATCTCCATTATGCTGCTTATCTGCTGTATCTACTCTGGCGTAGACCCTGTCGTAAGTAATCCAACTGTGCCATTAGGTAACATATATCATGAGAATCAATGACTGACGCGTATTTACTGCAGGGCGATGCCGGATTTACTGCCGAAAACTTCTTCCAGTACATGATTGGAGTCGTAGTCATCTTCAGCTTCACTTTGGGATACAAGGTCATCTTCCGAACCCCCTGGAGGAATGCAGCAACTGCCGACTGTCTCACTGGCCGACGACACTTGAGTGTTGAGGAAATCAAGCAACTTGATGAGTACTATGCTCAGCCCAAGTGGAGACGCTTCCTTACATATGTACAACTGTGGTAACTGCAATGTCTCCATGTTGTACAAGAAACCAACGGGATGTTGAGTGCGGATGTGTTTTTTGGCTAGTCAGTTTCTACCAATATGTCATTGGAGTTTGTGTACTCTCTGTTTTTAGTATAGGTATCTCTTACAAGAACACTTCGATTGATAGACTCTAAGATGCCCATGTTAAGTCAAATCATACAATCTGGTCATTGATTTGAAGTGCTGCCAGAGCTTTCTCCCAACATCCGATCATCTATCCAGACTCCTCCATACCCTCCACCATTGGGTCCTCAGGCCATGGCCACGTCAAACTATCAACATCCAGCGAATTCGCAATGTTCAGCAACTGTTCAGCGCTAAGCTCATAGTTTAACCCCAAACCGAAATCATCTTCAGAATCAAGGCCGAAAGACTCGGTATATCCAGGAATAGATGCTTCCGTAGTATTTGTATCGTCAGAGGGCCCTTCACACGGAGTGTTGTGGCTCTGAGTCGCAACTAAAGACCTTGACTCATTGTGAAGCAGAAACTCTTTCAGCAAACCTTCTAGTTGTTTTAATTCAGACGCAACCATATTAGCCACAGGATTACCACGAGACCCCATTTCATCAAAGATAGAGTAGGCACGCTGTGTCCAGGGAGTGTGGTCTGGCAACAGTGATGAGTCAATTGCAGAAGCCATGAGTAGTGCGATTGTAGCGGTAAATGTTGCGTCTTGGTCAAAGCGTAGGAATGTTTCTATCATTTTGTTAGAATAGCCTTCACTGATTAATATGAGTCGAAGAACACACCAAGTAGGCCCTGTTCAGAAAGACTGGACAGAATTCTAAGGATCTGTTGAGCCGATTCGGTACAAATCTGTACAAGGCCTTTCACGCTCTCGGATTGTAGCCAATGCATCAAAGCTACCTCCAAATGGCCTAGACGTGAGAGAAGAAACGTATAGAGCAGCGGCCTTGTGGTTAAAATGATGCACTAGTAGCGTTAGAGAGAAGATTCGCCGAACAACGTTCCTATTAAGAGCTTACCTGATGTTGCAAAAGATGCAGGTGCGCTGATATTCGCGATATACCAGCCATACCCTCGCCTGCCTGGATCTCAAACGACTTGTTCAGTCGTTCTGTAACGATAGCGATGCTTTTGAGTACTGATTGTGTAGCCTCTAGGTATCGACTGTCGAGTTTTCCTTCGAGCCCATATACAGCTACAGACTATCAGCAAATATTCTCATCTAACCGAGACATACGCACTCTGATCTATCTTTGCGAGCACTCTGCAAAAGTCAACATGTAACTTGAGAGCCTCCAAGCGTTCTGGTTGTCCTGGAAAATCGGGAAAGCGCGCACTTATAACATCGTCCGATATGCTCAGAGGGAGACCCATTAGAGAGCCCATTTGTCGTTCGAGAATGTAGATTGTCCAAAACATGTGGCGACATCTCTGCACGTAAGATTTATCAAGGGCGCTGGATTGCATCTCTGTGTGCATACCGTGTTCTAAAGCATTTCGAAGAGCGTTACAGACCTATCTTTGTTGAGCATTATGTGCCTTCAAATGCCATTGCATACTTACCAGACGATGGGCCTGTTGAATATAATCCACGCAGTGTAGATAAAGGGCAGCGCAACAGAGAACTTGTAACTGATCTATCACATCGCAATCGAAGAAGCTAAAATCTGGCATGAGCTTCATAGCTTGCACGAACAATTCTCCTCCGGGAGGTCGTCGAGATTTTGTCGAATGCACCACAAAGGCCTTTCCGAATGCTAATATGATAAGATAATGAACAAACCATAGAGGCTCGGCTTGTGCGTGCTCTGCAGGATGCTCGTGGAAGCGACGAAAGCGTTCCATAAAGATGTCTTCGTCGAAGAGATTATATAGCCAGCTGCAGTGGAATTTGACTGAATTAATGAGATACAGAGCAAAGTCCTTTGTTGGAAGAGCGGTCATGTCGGGTACATCCCCAGATGCAAGCCTCCTCGTCCCATCCCACTTGAAGTCGAAGACCTTTCCTTCAAGCCCAGCAAAGTGAAGGTTGTGAGTAGGCAGTGGTGTTCCTTTGATGCGTTCGTGTGTCATTGTGAGAACTCTCTTGTTGAAGGACCAATTCGATGAAGTCCCCATGAACACTGATGGCTGATGAGTCAAGAAGAAAGTTGCATGGTTGAGAACATGGACTCACAAAGATGGCCCTTGAGACCTGGGACAAAGTCGTAGGTATGAAAGGCTAGGGGATTAATGAGAGGAGCATTGCCTTCGACATTGGGTTGTCGATTAGGTGCTTGGACTGGTCCGCAAGGTGATATTGAGCTTGACGTCTTTATTGCTAGTTCTGGAGCATGGTCATTAGTCTCTGGTAAGTGTATTGGATCATCTTGGTTCTTAGTTAGAGCATTTCGAGTTAGAAGAGGGTTATATGTGCTCACCTAACTCTGGGCTCCTCGATTGAATAGTCGACGGCTGGTGATTTGCTTTGTTTTCGAAGGATGCCAACCTCTCTTGAAGACTCTTAATGTACCTGGAGGAAGTGAGTAAGTCTCCCATCAAGGAATGCACTGTTGACAAAACTAACCCTCTTGAAACCACCACTTTGCGAGACTCATCGTCGAAACGACAAGGCAACCCTCTCTTGTCACATTGTTGACAAGGTTGAGATCCAGAGCACCTGATCTTTTGATCGCGACATCTTACACAACTAAACATATCTCATCAGTGACTAAACTCGGGACCCATCCGATAAGAACAAGAACATACGCTTTTGGAGCACGTTTCCTAGCATTATTTGGTCGAGTTGAGCTAGAGCGTGTAGACATAGACATCACCTCGAGGACACAGGACTGAATAAGAGGATATCCGTGATAGTCAATTATATTGTGTATGAAAATGAGTAAAACAACATGCCTGTGACTCGTCAACCCAAGCCAAGTTGCGTGTAACGGGCAAGCTTCCGCATAACTAAAGAGCGGGGTAGATTGGGGCTGATAGGGATACAAAGCCGAAGAGGAAGGATTAGAAACGCTCTAGAAGATGTGGATATTCCTTGGGGGATCATTTCTTGTGAGACGATTGGTGTTAGTTAATGGCGGAGTTTTAATTCTTTGATCGTCTACTCTGCCCGATTGCGTTAGAAAGTCTTGAGTCTAAAGTCAACCCTGCCAGCGATAGTACAGCATTCTCAATATGAGGTCAGTATTAATGGAGTCATGGACCTCAGTGTGATGGTTCCTATGGCCGGCCTTGGTCATATTTAACATGCCTTATGCAGCTCGTAAGCCACAGGCTACAACGTTGCAAAGAGACAACGATAGATGCCCAAATTAGTCTATAGCGTAAAAATAGATCATTTGGAGGTTTACGTCTCTTTGAGCCAATGCAGCTGATTGACTCACATATACTGCTTTAGATATCAGGTTTATTATTCACTTTGTCCTCACCGAAGAAGCCACTCAGCAAGAAAAAGGCACATAGAGTATGGGAAGGAAAACCAATAAGCCTATACACTCTCATTCCTGTTTGTTCCGAGGGTCAATAAATCCGCTTTGTGGATGGCCCAAAACCACAGGCTAACGAGCGGCTGAAGTCAGAAGCTTATGGCTCGTTGGTGGCTTGCAGGCCGAGTACTACAACGCGTTTCATTGTGCAACAAACACGACTTTTTAGCGGAAGAGAGGGTCCTCTGCCTTTTACGGTGCTTGCTTGAGCTTGAAATCCTCTCTTACTGCTAGTTATGTTTGTATAAGAGGGGAACGATGCCCATGCTGACTGCAGTCACCATCAACGACATTGCAACGCCCACTCGTGCCTATATACTTTCATACACCTACTTACCTCGACACAAAGGAGAAATCAATGTTTGGCTTCCATCTCAGCTATCAGTGGCTTCACTATACCCGACCTTCAGGTCCCCCATCCCCCGTTCCTGAAGGTCTCGAACGTCACTGGGTAGAGACACCCGAAGGCCGGATTGAAGTTCTCTCCAATTCACCATCCATCACTAACAGAACAGATGGGCCGCCCATAGTATTCTGTCATGGTGGTATGGGCTGTGCTTGGGTATGGACCGAGTACATGCAATACCTAGCTGCCCGCGGAGTCCAATGCTATGCTGTTTCGCTACGCGGTCACGGGGAATCATGGCATCCGTCATACTTCCGCATGGTCTTTGCGACTCCTCGAAGTGCACTAGCATCCGATCTCGTTGCAGTGATCGATTGGGTTGAGATGCGCGACAAGAGCCAGGTGATGCTTGTCGGACACTCGAGTGGCGGAGGGTTGAGCCAGGGCATTCTCAGTGATGGCCTGGCGAATGTCAAAGCCCTTGCACTGCTGGGTGCTGTTCCAGGATTTGGATCGTAAGTCAAGATACAACCTTGACTCTGGCTCCTAGTTGAGATGCTAATAAAGCTTTGCAGAATGGGCGTATACATGAATTGGTGGAAGATGGACCCGTGGTTCACCATTCGAATGATCTTCCACCTCTGGCATTCCAACTCACCTCTCTCACATCCCATACTCACACAACGCGCCTTCTTTGGCGATAAATATCCACTCTCGGCCGTCGTTCCATTCCAGCGCCATATGAATCGCTATGAGAGCTACCTATGGCCTTTCAGCATGATGTACCAGTTCACATCTGCATCGATCATTCTCAAACACATTCGCAACGACGGGGACAGCGGTGAAAAGGTTCTTGTCATGGCAGGAAGTCAAGATAAGCTGATGACAGGACCAGTATCTCACAAAACAGCAAAGTATTATCGTGAAGCTGGGACTAAGAAGCGTGACGAGGTGAGGTTGCGTTTTGTAGAAGGTGCTGGACATCACCTACAGAATGATGTGCAGTGGAAAGATGGCGCTGAAAAGTTGTTTGACTTTTACAAGGGCATTGCTTAAGTATAGATCCCTGAAATTGGCGGTCTGTTTTATCTGGGTCTGACAGGACCATTCCCGGTGGGTAGAATGGTTTTTTTCTCTTCTTCGCTCGCAACTCCATCATGATGTATTCCTATCCTATTCGATATGTCCTCTTCAGTCAGTTTAGCGTTAATACTTACCTAAAAACTTCGGTTGAATACCCGTTGATGTCTGCCACTTGTCAAAAGACCTCGTTGTGGATGATCGGTCCATGATGCCGACACGACTCCGAAGCGACCTCCACTAAATTGTTGACTCCCGTTCCGGTAGCGGCCTCTAAACACGTTGATGAAGCTCCGTAGCTGTTCTGAAAGAAGGAAAAAGAGGGGACGGAAGACAGGGGACACCGGTCCATGCTAGAGTGAGTTCAACAGGGAGCGACTCAGACGATGGTCCTTTTCTTTTTCTCCTGACCCAATTCCGTTACTTTCAATTCATCACCATCATCATCATCAAACGTAGAGGAACAACCTCTAAAAAATTACTGTCGGTGTTGAGATTCCATCTCGGCACTTCAAAGACCCGAAAAGACCGGCTCTGCATCCCATATTCGGAACACCTACCGATCTTTACTGTCTGCTGTCAATCTCGGGCTTCTTCCGTGACCTGAACGCTCAGATTTCCTTTGTGTTGTTAGGTTGGGTTGCTTCCGGTGCCGCAAAAACATTTCGGCACCTTCAGCTCAGGTTCGCCTCAGACAGTCCTAGCAGTCAATCTGGCGGCCTTACAGCGGTTCCAGCGGTTGTCGTTGTCAGTGGGGGTTGGTGCAGCAGCAGCAGCCAGTCGCAGTCAGTCGCTCTTGCTTGGATCGGCACTCAGAATGGAGGGGAGAAAAGTGCAGGCGCCCGTGCCCCGCGCTCCGGAGCTGTCCGCCGAAGGCCCCTCTTCGGCGGGCTTCAAGACGTATTCGGCCGCTGGGTCGGCCGATAGGATCTCTCTCGTCTCAGGCCATCTGTCGCGTCAGACTTCTTCTTCTTATAACGCAGCTTCCCCTGCTCCTTCGTCATCCAACCAAGCTCGACCTCTATCGACAACCACAGCCAATATGTCTTCCCAACCCGAACACGCTACTCTGCTCATTCCCGGACCCATTGAGTTCGATGATGAGGTCCTCAAGTCTATGGGCCACTACAGGTAGGGACTACTCTGCTCTATATCACAAAGTCTCGCCTGCTAACACATGCCCCTAGTGAGAGCCACGTCGGCCCTGGCTTCGTCAACACCTTCGGCGAAACCCTCTCCATGACCCGCAAGCTCTTCCAATCCACCGACCCCTCCGCTCAACCATACGTTATCTCCGGTTCTGGTACTCTGGGATGGGATATTGTTGCTGCCAACCTTGTCGAGGCTGGTGAGAACGCTCTTGTCCTCAGCACTGGTTACTTTGGCGATGGCTTCGCCGACTGCCTGCGCGCCTACGGTGCCAACGTTACCAAGCTTGATGGTGAGGTTGGTGGCCGTCCTCAGCTCCCCGAGATCGAGAAGGCCCTTTCCGAGAAGAAGTACAAGATCCTTACAGTTACACACGTCGACACATCGACTGGTGTTTTGAGCGAGCTCAAGGACCTTGCAGCTACTGTCAAGCGAGTCTCCCCCGAGACTCTTGTCATTGTCGATGGTGTCTGCAGTGTTGCTTGTGAGGAGATTGCTTTCGACGAGTGGGGTCTAGATGGTGTTGTTACCGCCAGCCAGAAGGCCATTGGTGTTCCTGCTGGTCTCTCCATCTCTTTCTTCAGCGGTCGAGCTGTCGCTGCTGCCATTGAGAACCGCAAGACTCCCATCCCCGCCTACTTCGCTTCCATGAAGAACTGGACTCCTAGTGAGTGAGACACATTCTTGAGGTCATGTATATTTTGCTAACATGCTTTAGTCATGAAGAACTATGAGGCCAAGAAGCCCTCTTACTTCGCAACCCCCTCTCCCCAGCTCGTCCACGCCCTCCACACCAGCTTGAGCCAAATCCTTGCCCGACCTTTGTCAGAGCGATTCCAGGGCCACATCGAGGTCTCTAACAAGGTCAAGAAGGCCATCACCGACCTTGGCCTCAAGATCGTTGCCACCAAACCCGAAGACCAGGCTCATGCTATGACTGCCATCTACCTGCCCGAGGGTGTTGGCGCTCCTGATGTTCTGCCCAAGCTGGCTGCTAAGGGCGTCGTCTTTGCCGGTGGTATTCACAAGGCTATCGCCCCCAAGTACATCCGATTCGGCCACATGGGCGTCAGTGCTGTAAGTGTAACCTAAACTTGTTTGGTGGAGTTTGCAACTAACGTGTAATTCACAGCTGGATCCTAGCCGAAGTCACATGGAGAAAGCCATCAATGCTCTCAAGGAGAGCTTGGCCGAGGCCGGTTACAAGCCTTAAACATAAGAGAACAAAAAATAAGAAAATCTATCAACATGATTCAAAGGCGATCGAAGGGACGACATAGCCCAGCTTGAAGACACAACAGCCAAGTCCATCCAGTGGATATGGGTGATTTATGGTTAAGTCGAAAGTATGTAACGAGAGAAATGGCTGGCCATGTTTGTAAGTGATTGTGTAGACGAAGAAACCAACTATAGAGGGTTGGCTAGTGTTGTCTTCAGTGATAAAGCGAGCTTAAAAAATATGATACTTTGCCAAAGGCGTCTTGACTCATCCTCCTGGTGATTCGCACATAACAATTTGAGCTGAATACATCATTCCCCAAACTTCAAACTTGCCAGTTCTATTTGGACCTACCGCAGTGGTAGTTTGCTCATTAATACCTAACGTCAGTGATAACATGACAAGCTCCCTGTCCTATCCGTTAATTCTCCGGAGTGGCAGAGCCGTCCAGAATCTTCTTTCTAGGCAGCGTTCAGCCATAGTGGTCTTCAATGCGATCATGAGATGGTAAGGACTAACCCAGGCTATATGGGCTTATAAATAGTTATCAATGATATCATGACATCGTACCGCCGGTAGGTAATGCAGAAGACTTCGGCGTTTTTACAAAGGCCTCTCGACGCTACCCTAAGCCGAAGAAGAAATGCGACGCCTTATATCGGGCTGCTGCAGAGCATTACGATTACCTCATAGAGAGATCTTCGCGCCCATCGGACATGTTCAGCTGAGCAAGACCTTAACACGTCTGCCATGGTTGATCAATAGCCCCAGCAAAATCGGGATAATAATCGGACTGCCGCATCCGGCAACATTAATTAACAATGCATAACTAACAAAGGTGACCAACACGCGCCGTTATGAAAATCATAGCGAATCATGAGATGGATCGGTTACAGTACAGTACAGTAATTTTACTTATGCGCCCGGGAGGCTGGGAATTGATAGCCCGAGGTGATGAAGTATGTACTGTTACAAAAATCATCCCAGCGTCATGGGCCCAACGAACCACAGCCACGGTACTTTTTGCATAGGCATCAACAGCCACAGCAAACGGCAGTGATGCAAAAAGTAGAGATACTTTGTTGATGTGATAATGATAGGACAGGATATCCAATGGCTTTTAACAGACAGGCATCCATGAATCCCTCTTTGTACCTGTGCTATGCCCCGCTGCTGACAAAAGCATCCATCAGATCTTCTGGGCGGATAGAATGGAAGCTCCCGCTACATTAGGTCTGGTTGCTGGTGGTTACAATGGAAGTGACGCAGACTGCACTGCGGGGCATTTCTGAGTCTGATACTCCACTATAGGTGTCTGCTGTACTGTACGATGGAGATTATTCACAGCGCTGCGGCGGCGCTGGGCTTGTAACTCCACTTCGTCCTGAGCCGCCCGCATAGGTCCAGGTCCAGTCCATTCATGGATCTCTTCACACCTCACCTCACCTCACCGACGTCGTCCACTTTACCTTAGTTTGCTTGACCAAAGCCGAACTTTGCATTTCTCCTCTTTTTCATTTTTCACTGCTTCCTTCGCGACGCATTCTCTTCTCGACCGACCATCATACACCCACCAACTCCTCCTTATTATAGAGTAGAGCTGAGCTGAGCTGCGCTATTGCCTTCACTTGCTTTAGTCTATCTGCCTGGGGCTGGCATTTGCTTGTATCTTCTCTCTCCCCCCGCCTCGCCTCGTCTTCGTTCGCCCACCACCAGCTCTACCACCTCCAACCACCACCACCTTCTTCTACCACGTAACGACCCCCTCGCGAACCCGATATAACAACGTAAAATGGCCGCCTCCATTGAAGAGCTGGACGTCCTCGTCCGCTCCTTCTACGAGGGGCGCGGTGAGCAGGTAGGTTATCTTTTGGCTCGGGTTTTACCAGCCGCAGACCCCGCGCGTCGAGATGAGGAACAAGAACTAATCCCGCCTTGTCAATCGTATAGCAAAAAGCCGCTCAAGCTGCTCTCAACCAGGTTTGTACACTTCTCCAGCTCATGGCTCGTGCAGAGCTTTTTTACTAACTCGACCTACAGTTCAAAGAAGACCCCGATGCCTGGCTCATGGTCGACAAGATCCTTTCGGATGCGCAGTACCCTCAAACCAAATGTGCGTTGACTCGGCTTTGCGCCACTTTCCACGCTGTGCTGCACCGCAGCTAGCTTCGTTCCCCTCGATCTTTGCGAGTTATGAAACTGCTCGACTAACAAAATTTAACAGACTTGGGTCTGCAGGTTCTGGATAATGTGATCATGACGAGGTGGAAGGTACTCCCTCGGGAACAGTGCCAAGGTGCGTTACGCTTCCAATAACAACTCGGCTGCCATATCTAACCAGCCTTGTCATTTAGGAATCCGAAACTTCATCGTTCAGTTTATCATCCAGTGCTCGAGCACCGAAGAGTCTTTGCGCCAGCAAAAGACTTTGCTCAACAAGCTTAACCTCGTTCTCGTTTCCGTCCTCAAGCAGGAGTGGCCTCACAACTGGCCTACCTTTATCAACGAAATCATCTCGTCATGCCATTCCAACCTATCTATCTGCGAGAACAACATGATTATTCTTCGTTTGCTTTCGGAGGAAGTCTTCGACTACTCAGCCGAGCAGATGACATCGACAAAGACACGCAACCTGAAGCAGACTATGTGCGCCGAGTTCTCACAGATCTTTAACCTCTGCCAAGAGGTTCTCAACACGGCCACACAGCCTAGTTTGATCAAGGCAACTCTCGAGACCCTTCTGCGATTCTGCAACTGGATTCCCCTGGGATACATCTTCGAGACACCACTTATCGAAACACTGCGAACCCGATTCCTCTCGACCCCCGAGTTCCGCAACGTTACCATGCAGTGCCTTACTGAGATTGGAGGTCTTCAGACAGGAGGTCCTGGACAGCCCAACTCGTATGACGAGGAGCTTGTCAAGATGTTCACTGAGACCCTGACCACCATTGCTAACATCATTCCGGTTACTCTTGATCTTAAGAGCACATATCCTAGCAGTAACTCAAGAGATCAGGAGTTTATCCAAAACCTGGCTCTCTTCCTTTGCAACTTCTTCGGAATGCATTTAAATGTAGGTTATGAGACGTCTTTGTGCCATATACACTGTTCTAACATGCACGAAATAGCTTGTCGAAAAACTTCCTAACCGAGATTTCCTTATCCACGGTCACTACTATCTTATTAGGATATCGCAGATCGATGATCGAGAAATCTTCAAGATTTGTCTCGATTACTGGCTCAAGCTTGTCCAGGAGCTTTACGAGGAGATGCAAGCCCTCCCTATTACGGACCTTAACCCCCTCATGGCTGTCGGCGCAGGCATGTCTGGTGGCGGTGCCCCGAACCCTACCGTCCTTAACAACTACCCTCTCCGAAAGCACAAGTACAACGAAGTTCTCTCAAACCTCCGAGTTGTTATGATCGAGAAGATGGTCCGTCCCGAGGAAGTCTTGATCGTCGAAAACGATGAGGGTGAAATTGTCCGAGAATTCGTCAAGGAGAGCGATACTGTGCAGCTTTACAAGACGATCAGAGAGTGCCTGGTGTACCTGACACATTTGGATGTGGTCGATACAGAGAACATCATGACCGAAAAGCTTGCTCGACAGGTCGACGGCAGCGAGTGGTCTTGGCACAACTGCAACGTTCTTTGCTGGGCCATTGGATCGATTTCCTTGGCAATGAACGAGGAGACTGAGAAGCGTTTCTTGGTAACGGTCATTAAGGACTTACTTGGTCTCACCGAAATGAAGCGAGGCAAAGACAACAAGGCTGTCGTCGCCAGTAACATTATGTACATTGTCGGCCAGTATCCTCGTTTCCTGAAGGCCCACTGGAAGTTTCTCAAGACGGTCGTTAACAAGCTGTTCGAGTTTATGCACGAGTCTCATGAAGGTTTGTTTTGAAGCCTTGATTACTCACTATTCTCAGGATACTAACTAAAGCTATTACAGGTGTACAGGACATGGCTTGTGATACGTTCATTAAGATTGCACGACAATGCCGGCGACACTTTGTTGCTCTCCAGCCTAGCGAGCAGGAGCCTTTTATCGAGGAGATTGTCCGAAACATGGGCAAAATCACATGCGATCTTACCCCTCAACAAGTTCACACCTTCTATGAGGCCTGCGGTTACATGGTTGCGGCTCAGGGCAACAAGCACCAGCAGGAGAGACTTCTCTCTGACCTCATGGCCATCCCCAACGCGGCGTGGGACGAAATCATCAAGCAAGCAACAGTCAACCCCTCCATTCTTCAGGATGCCGAGACTATCAAGGTTATTGGAAACATCATGAAGACCAACGTATCGGCTTGCTCATCTGTGGGATCCTACTTTTACCCCCAGATCGGCCGCATCTACCACGACATGCTCCAGATGTACAACGCCACAAGTACACTGATCTCCGAGGCCGTTGCTCGCGATGGTGAACTTGCAACCAAGATGCCCAAGGTCCGAGGTCTTCGAACTATCAAGAAGGAGATCCTTAAGCTCATCGAGGTGTATGTTGACAAGGCAGAAGATCTCCAGGCTGTCCGTGCCCAGATGGTGCCTCCTTTGTTGGACTCTGTTCTGGTCGATTACAACCGTAACGTTCCTGGTGCTCGAGATGCCGAGGTACTCAAGGCTTGCTCCACCATCATCACCAAACTCTCTTCTTTGATGGAGGACCAGGTCCCGACCATTATGCAGAACGTCTTCGAGTGCACCCTGGAAATGATCAACAAGGACTTCTCAGAGTTCCCCGAGCACCGAGTGGAGTTCTTCAACCTCCTCCGGGCCATCAACCTGCACTGCTTCCCTGCTCTGCTCAAGCTCGACAACAATCAGTTCAAGTTTGTTATCGACTCCTGCTCGTGGGCTTTCAAACACGACAACCGTGATGTTGAAGCAGCTGGTCTCAACATGGCTCTGGAGCTTATTAACAACATTGCCGAGAAGACCGACGTCCAGACCGCAAATGCTTTCTTCCAGCGATTCTTCATCACCATCCTTCAGGATGTTTTCTTCGTTGTGACCGACAATGACCACAAGGCTGGTTTCAAGACGCAATCCATGCTGTTGATGAAGCTCTTCTACTACATCAACCCCGCCGACGGCACTCAGCCCAAGATCCAAGGACCTATTTACAGCCCCGACCAGGCACAAGCTGGAACCGACAACCGAGAATTTGTTGCCAACTTTGTTGCTAATCTCTTGCAAAATGCGTTCCGCAACCTGCAAACGTACGTTCTATCCCCTATTATTCATGCCGCAATGCTAACTCTCGAACAGGAACCAGATCCAGAGCTTTGTGGAGGGTTTGTTCACGCTTAACACGCAATACGACAAGTTCCGACTCAACCTCCGTGATTTCCTTGTCTCTCTCAAGGAGTTTGCCGGTGACAACGCCGAGCTGTTCATCGTTGAGAAGGAGCAACAAGAGCAGGAAGCTAAGAATGCCGACCTGGAACGACGACAGAAGGTCGGCGGTCTTCTCAAGCCCTCAGAGCTGGACGATGAGGAGCTATGACTCAACGAAGAACTACGGACTGAGTTTGCACCCCGAGCTGCCAATGAAGCGGCATCGACGGATGCAGCTGGGGACGGGTGGGAGTTTTACGGACTTTGAGGGATTTCCTGGAGTCACAGCTCATTCATTGATCCCCCGCTTTGGGTACGTCGAAGCACCTCGTCCACGCCGAATTTCTTTCCTGTTATGATACCATATTCCTTCCATAGAAGAGTGATCAGTCGCCTGCTTTTGCTAGGCGGCTTGATGCTCTAGTCTAAATCGGCAACCCCTTTGAAATCTCAGGGGGGAAGTGTTAAAGAAAAAAAGAGCAAGATAAAGAAGCCGTGGTTTGAGTTTCACATTGGTATCGATTGTTTTGGGCTCCTGGGTCGACATCGGTACCACTTGAGGAAGCTATTTATGCGCGCTTCTGTGATTAAAAGAACAGAAATGACATCCGGATACATACCTATCCAGGATTTTGTTTTATGGAAAGAGAGGCAAGCCTAGGTTCATGTAGATATCGAAATAGCTTACACTATGGATAATCAAACAGAAATGACATGAGCATGGCTAGTCGGAGTGTTAATTACTGTCGTGTCCAGAAGACCTAGTTTGCCTAGTCGATCATCATTGCATAATTTGACGATACGATTCTTAATCATTGAGACGTGACAACCGTGTTCGGAGATGGTACGGAAGACTTACTTACATTTGCGGTGGCGCTCATTTCAGTACTATATGCGTTGCCATATGCGCTACCCAGATATCTCCAACAATGGCTTCAGATGCTACGTGGAGGAACTTGAATACATACGAGCTAAGCTATGCATTTGTGGTATCAGTTATACGAACAACTATCTATGCTCATATCCAGTAGTCCTCTTGTCATTGATCATTCTCCAACTCCTGCAACGGCCATCCCAAAGCGTCTTGCCAGTAACTCCCGAGATGGCCAGCAATGAGGCGTACCAGAAAGGCACCAGAATCCCCAACTAGCCAGACGCGGCGGCATCGATGAAGAAGAACGCCGTAGTATGCTAGGACCAGCAAGGCCTCTGGCCGGTTTTTGCGAACGGTTTCTATATAGTCTTCGCTCAAGACGACAGGGAACGCTGATGCAGCTTGCAAATTCGTGCTTTGAGGCAGGTTACGATAGACGTTGAAAGCCCATTGTAGAGTGTGGGCGGCATTGCTGCATGCCTCAACTGATGCTGGGCTTAGATCGGAGCTTTTTATAAGTTCTATCAACGGAGCGCATTCGTCACCCGTGTCGCCGAGCTCCGCCGCGTTTTTGACCTCAAGAAAGAACTTGGCCAAGGGAGATTCGAGAAGATCGTTGTACCGGTTTGAAGTTGTAGACTTGACACCACGATGTAAGTGAACCGAATTACAGAACCTTTCTATAAAGGCATGAAGGGAAGAACGATATTGAGTAAATGTGTCGTACAGCATATGCAAGCTAAGGAGTGATGAGAAGAGGAACCGGGGGATATAGTGTGCATCGTAGTTAGCCACCTCTTGGGCATCCTTGTTGAAATATGAAAGAGCACGGGTTTGAAGCTCCGTAGCTGTCCGGCGATATGAAGCTGCACTTTCAGGATGCAGCACAGCTAGATGGTCTGCTGATATGGCGAGAAGTTGGTCCAGTGCATAGGGAGCGTGAGAAGACCATTCGAGAGCAACATCAAGAATAGTGTCTAGATTCTCTGCATCCATAATTACTGACTTGCGGAAGTGATGCAATAGTATGAGATGTTTGTTGGTGAAAACGGGCAGAGGCAGAGTTTCTGTCTGTGAAGATGATACAGGTGACTCAGCAAATTCGGGAGCAAAAGCCTCTGTGAAAGAAGGCAGAGTCGTTGAAGGAGCCCGCTCGTTAACATTGACGTTATATCCGAGATATGCTGGTGGCGGTATGGGAGAGGGACGATGTAAAGCCCCTGCACTGGACACGCTATCGACGGGGCTCTGCATTCGACTGCCGTTATTGCTCACACTTAGTAACGGCTCATTGAAGGAGGTAGAGGAAGCCAAGGGCGGATCAGATCGCGCCAGTGATGAGGAATTAGCAGCTGATGGTGCGGCGGAAGGCGGAAAAGAGCATGTTCGCTCACTGACAATGCAGTTACCGCAAGCAGGACGTTTCTCATCGCATTTGATATGCCGTCTCTTACACTCCAAGCAACCATTGCGGGACTTGCGATGGCGTCTTCGGAGCTTGGTCACGGGATTATTGGTCTCATCGTTAGAGTGAGGGTTGGGATGCGGATGCATCGGAAGAAAAAGAAATGTAAGGAAAAAGAAAGGGTGGTAGGGTAGTTCAAGCACAAGGTGTGGTCTGAAGCAAGCAAGAATTGGCTGTTCAGAACAGGTGAGGTCAGATCAGATCAACAGTATCCAACAGCTGTGACTAGGAAGACTAGTACTCCATACTGGTTCAGCTCTTAATTGAGCGTTATGATTGGCTGGTAAAGTCCTTCCAGACAGCAAAACGCGTGCTGATGGTGAAGTACCAACGTTCTTATCGTATTGCTTGGGTTAAGTTTTTAGCTTTTCTCTTGCTAAAATAACGTTACTGGACCTATTTTAGTCATTCGTATATCTGTCTGAGCCACCTTCCATAGTATAATAATAGCATCTACCTAGTTCCTCATCCACAGTAGCGAAGTGTCTTCAGGACGTGAGAATAAAGGGACACAGCCATGCCTCATGATCCATAATGTTTAAAATCCTCATTTCTATGCCAGGTATAACTGAGCCTCCAATGACCTCCATCTCTTAAGACATCTCAATTGACATTGAAAAAACAACCGACCTTTTACAAAGGAATCAAGGCAATATCACCACACAGATAGTCAACCAGACAAGTCTGTTGCCTGCTGGAATAAATTTGCCTGTAGCCCTGCAACCCACTTACACTAGAGCTGGTCTGAATACGCGGTTATCGGTTTCAGTATGAATTTTCGTATTTGGCCTACGTACTATACGCGTATAGAGTAGGTATCTATTTATTAGAACCGGTAGTATAATATTGATGCATAGCTTCGATCCAAGAGCCGCAATATACCCAGGAACAAAAGGCTTCAATCATCAATTGTCTTTTATAAATCCAGAAAGAAACCACTGTAGCAAACAACGGGGTATATTCCTGTCTAATCGTCGAAACCTGCAAACTCATCGTCTTTATCTTTCTTAGCCGCCGTAGCCTCAGCCGCTGCTTTTTCACGATTTTGTCTCCGAACCTCGGCGATCAGGTCGTTCAACTCCATCTGCTTAACCTTCTCGTCGTCCGTCATCTTGGATGTTGCCTCTGCCTCGCGTCGCTTGCGTCGCTTCTCCCTTCGCTCTACTCGTTCGTCTTCCTTCTCATGCTTAGCACTCCAGGCCTCGTTGTTCTTGCGCTTGCGTTTAACCTCCTCTTTCTGAATCTCTTTCTTGGTGCCGGACTTGTCCTCCTCAAGAGCAGCCTTTCTCGCTTGTTCTCGAGTCTTCTCCTTGTAGGCATAATTGTCCCAGTCGATCTCAAGACCGCACATCTTATCGCCTGTCCAGCCCTTGAGTTCGGGCATTCGAGGCATACGGAGTAGTCCCCATGCGTTGCCAAGATCGGCCCAGTCAAGGTCGGCCGCACGGAAGATAGAGGTAGCTTGGTGAGCGCCGTAGCTTCGAGCAAAGCTTACGAATCCCTTTTGGGCCTTATCGAATAAACCCCTGTCTGTCAATACAAGGTCTCTCATCTTCTTCGTGGCTTCAGCAGCATCTTCCTCTGAGGTGATGACAACAGGCTTTTCCAACTTTGCGATTGGTGTTTTGCGAATTTCCAAGAACTGTACATAGTCTTCCTCTCGTCCCGGATGTAACATCACCACTGCCAATCCTTTTCGGCCTGCGCGACCAGCTCGTCCACTGCGGTGGATAAACACTTTGGGATCCGAAGGCGCATCGATTTGAACAACCAGGTCGACTTGTGGAATATCCAATCCACGAGCAGCCAAGTCAGTTGTGAGTAATATTGTGGGAGAAACCGAGTTGAGGAACTTGTTGAAGTTCTTCTCTCGTACTTTAGCTGGGTGCTTTCCGTGTAGAGGTACCAGCGCAAAGCCTTCTGGTAGGATTAGAGGCAGGGTATGTTGGAAATAGTCGACAGCGGCGCACGTAGAAAGAAAGACAATACTCCTTTGAGGTTGTATAGGTAGTTGTCGCAAAAGCTCCGCAAGAGCAGGAAGTTTTTGGCTGGCTGGCTTGACCATGTATGTCATCTGAAGACTAGCAGGCGTTTTTCTATCCTCAAGAATACCACCTCCCTTCATCTTAACCTTAACTTCGATCTTGACAGGGTTTCGCAGACCAACTCGGATGATCTCGCCAACAGCCTCACTCACACTGGCGCTGAAAAGACCAGTCCTTCGTTGTTTCGGCAAATGCGACAAGATCTTCTGTAGGTCAGGCTTGAAACCGAGATCAAGGAGTCGATCGGCTTCATCAAGAACCAGAACTTCGAAGGACGATTGAGGGCAGTGGACGTGGGGCGAAGAGAGGAGCTCGACGAGACGGCCGGGCGAGGATATAAGAACATTAGGGCTGTGTCGAAGGAAGAAGCTAAGATCTTGTGCCGTAGTCGTTGTACCTCCAACTAGCAATTGGGGCACGATGGCGGGCACCATGGTGGAAGGTCGCTTTTCGTCGCCTTTAAGATGGGGAAGGACTTCGGCAGAGGCCTCGTGGAATTGCAGTAAGTTGACAAGAACAGTATGGATCTGGGCAGCCAGTTCACGGGTGGGAGAGACAATGATGGCGGCGACATGATGCTTTTTCGTGGGCTCGCTAAGTCGGAGGAGTTTTTGGACAAGAGGAATAAGGAAAGCAAGGGTTTTTCCACTACCAGTGACGGCCTAGAAATGAGTTAGAATGTCAATCGAACCATAAGTTTACAATTCTAGCCATACCTCGACTACAACATCTTTGTTTCCAAGGAAATGTGGCAGAGTTGCAGCTTGGACGGGCGTCATCTGGTTGAAGCCCATGGTTGCGACGGCATCGCGAATCCAGTCCGCTAGAGGCGGATCAAGGGAATCCCAAGCTCTAGGGCTTCTCTTCTTGGGCTTTTCAGTAGCCATGATCAGCCAACAGTGGACAAGACCAAGGTATGGTTATTATATAAAATAATTAGTTGGACTGTATATCACAGATCCAAGGCGCAACGAGGGGCCGTCTTTGACATCTTTTGCGCGAAACATTTCTTGAAATTTTTATCTTATCACCACGTGCTGATCTTGAGCTGTGGCGTAGTCGATGTGGCTGTGTTCTGCCCGTCTCGGCACGTGCTTAATGAAAGCACTACAGCTCGGATGACGTGGGAATTGACAGTCCCTGAAATGAATGATTTAATCTGGGCTTAAGTTTGGCAGGTGACGTGACATGTTGATTGATTGGAAGAGAGTCTGTCAGACCAGATGGCGGAAGATCCGGAACACAGCACAAGTGCTAGGAGGAACAGCTAATCTTGTTTTTAATTTCATATGCTTGTTCGCGAACGGTTGGTGTTTCCCACCCGCTATTCTTACCAAACCTTTACATGAGGGTATCTTGAAGACCGAGGTTTTCATCCAAAAAGGACCCTCCAGTAGTCCATCACATGCTTCAAACCTGTAATTAGTAGATGTACAGTACAGTGGGCGTGTAAAAGGCGGTGTCCCACTCTAGAGGTTAGGTACCTCTGTATCCGTAGGTCTGAGCAGCGGAATTGAACGCCACAGATACGTATTCCCCAGACCCAGAATGAAGGAAAATCTTCAACCTTACCGTTAAGTTACCTACAACCAACGCCAAATACTGTACTTGTGAGGAGAATACTCGCCCTTCTGCGTTAGTCCTGTACAGTACTGTATCCTCTTTTTTCTCATTTCCAGTGTCACGCGACTTATCTTTGCCCTCGTTGACTCTCGTCTCCTGCTTGTCTCAGCGCCCCCGTCACCTGGAATCAGCCGTCACTCTCACACGCCCAGCTAGTACTGTACTTTCGACTGTACTTTACATGTGTGCGTGCCCCGGTCATCAACGTCTTATATCTCCGAACCCATCATGCGGCGGGGGATACGACCTCCGTTGCATCCTTGTTAATCAATCTGGATTCAATAAATATCCAATCTTCCAAACCGAAAACTCGGCCAAAACGTAGCCCGAGTCCTCCGAAGCGGAAGCGGAATTCGAGTCAGAGTCTGAGCCCGAGTCAGGGTTACGGCAACCAAGACCAACTACATCATCAACATCATCCGCCGCCGCAAGGGCAACAACAACAAGGCCTCGAACATAACGGCCAAACTACACGCCACAGCCATCGAAGGCATAGCCACGGCGACACGGACGATCACTTTCTAGACCCTGGAAAGCGACAACATAATCATCCCGCTCACGGATCCTCCCACTACGACACCCCCGACACCTTCACCATTTCATCTTCATCAGAACCTATCGCGACGGTGCGCTCATCGCGCCGTGATAAACATCTCCACTCTTCAATACCCAATACATTCTGGCCTCCTGGTTTCAACAGTCTTCGACGTATAGTCGTCGGTGCCGTTCGCTGCTCCGCGCTCCCGCCCTTCTGCCTCACCATGTCCTTCCGATCCAAGGTTCCGGAGACGCCCCGCGTCATCTCGCCGAGTCCCACCCCCTCCGAACGTGATGCCTCCGATTACATGGGCCCCGTTACACGTTCCGCGGCCCGGAGACGGACACCCACGCCCCAGCCGCTCCACGAAGAGCTGGATGAGGATATACCTGAACCTCCCGAGTTTCGACGAGCTCGAACCCGCAGCCGCTCTCCGATCGATACAAACGCTGTAACGCGCCTGACAAGGCGGACAAGCACTGCTGCGAAAGCGGGCAAGATGTCCAAGGATACTATTCCTGAAGAACAAGCGTTAGATGGCGCGCTCAACGGTAACGGCAGCGGCAATGGAAAGGCTTCCACATCAAATGGCCACCTTGCGCCTCCTCAGCCTTCAGCACCAACAGGATGGTCATGGCGCGACTTCAGCCGGAGCCCTAGTCCGCTCGGTTTGATTCCTATCCATCGACACTGGAGAACATTTGTGCACAAGCATGAGGTACCCCGCAAGGTGCTGCACGTCTCAATTGGCTTCTTCGTCATTTGGCTTTACGTGACCGGCACTCAGACAACTTCAGTGACGCCTTGGCTCATGTCAGCGCTCATTCCTATCACCACAGTCGACTGGCTCCGACACCGGTACGCTTCTGTCAACCGCTTCTACGTCAAGGCCCTCGGTGCCTTGATGCGCGAGAGCGAATATTCTGGCTGGAACGGTGTTATCTTCTATCTCCTGGGTGCCTGGATTGTTCTTTTCAACTTCCCCAAGGATGTTGGTATTATGAGCGTCCTTCTGCTCAGTTGGTGTGATACTGCTGCCAGTACCTTCGGCCGACTCTGGGGTCGATACACCCCTCGTCTCCGCAAGGGCAAGTCTCTTGCCGGTTCCACCGCCGCCTTTCTTGTGGGCGTTGGCACATCATACTTCTTTTACGGCTGGCTGGTGCCCACCATCGGTCCTTTCCCTGGCGATGAGAACTTCATGTTCAAGGGTATTCTCTCACTGCCCAAGACCATATGCGAGGCTGTTGGCGTTTCGCAGGAACAAACAACTATCTCAGGTGCGGTTGCTCTGGGCGTTATGGGCCTCTGGTCCGGCTTCGTAGCTTCTGCTAGTGAAGTTGTGGATATCTTCGGCTGGGATGACAACCTGACGATTCCCGTCCTTAGTGGTATCGGTATCTGGGGCTTCCTCAAGATTTTCTCATAGACAAGAAACTTTGTCTAGCAGAATGCAGAACCGACCTCTTATGAGCCGAACCCAGCTGTTCTATCAGAGGACGGCTCCTATGAGACATTGAGCAAAAACGCATACACGGAACACGGTAGTCCGACATTGTACATGCATCAGGGGCATGTGTATATACCCTACCCTCACCCCTCGTTTCTCCATCCGTGTCTTCATTTCTTACTCGTTCTTCTTTGTGAAAACATTCATCATTCGACAATGGGACTACTGGAGATCGAGTTCACATATGTCTTTCGAGAACTGAGTTTTTTCTTTGTACTTTTTGAGCTAAGCTTGTGAGATGGAAACGATGCGTGGTAGAGACAGGGGAAACCAATCCACCTTAGTAAAAAAAAATCGACATGAATATCCGCTTTGGGTACATGGCCGCGAACCTTGGTTTTACGCTTGCATGTGGTGTTACATCGGGAGAATATATATCTATTCCTTTGGGCGATAGCAGGGACGCTTTGGAATAGAACATGGAGCGGGAACGGCATGGGCATGGGCATGGTCGGGTGTGATATCTTGGTTACAAGTAGACAGGACGGGACTCTATGGGTATCTTAGTTAGATCATGAGACGAAACGCATCTCTTTTCTGCGATCAACTCGAAAATCATGACATCCTGTGACGAACAATTTGGTCGCGCCACATTTGACGTCTGTTGTACGAAGGCTGTACGGCATTTCGTATTGCTCACCTCCCTGCTCAACGGTCTAGTTAATACATGGGTTCCACGAAGTATCCAAGCTAGGAATTCCGGTGATGCTTATCACTTGGGCTGAAGTATGTTTCACCACGTTCAAGGCTGTACAAAGTGAATAAGATGAGCAGAAGAGTTTCGGATGCCAATCATCCGGGATTGGACAAGTTGTACAGAAATGTTTAAGAAGTTTCTTTTTTGGTATCTCGGAGGAATTACCCTGGGCATGATTTTGTCTCTCGGTTATGTCCGGTCGTTGAAGACGGACTTACACGACAGCCATCATGACGGCGGGGAGAGTGGGAGTTGGAGTGGGAGTCGAGTCGAGTCGAGTCGAGTCGCTCAATGCTGGGGGCGAGTTCTGCTTAGAAGATGGTTGCCTACGTCACGAATTATCAGACAAGTAAGATGGTTTTGAGATATTTCCTAGGCAAACTCCTTCTGCATTGGGTAAATAGCTGGGTAGATTGGAATGGATATCAATTGCTCTCTCGGCAAAGCCTCATGTTCATCGCATACCGTTCACACCATCTTGTTGAAAAGAGAAAAAAAATCCATCTACTTTGCATCTCTCTTTAAAACTGCCATCCTATGAAATGGTGCCCCATCATCAAGCCCCCCTGTACAGAGTCGCATCTTCCCCTCCGTGTGCCTGGGCCACGCCTTGCCGCACACAACGGCGCTGAGTTGTCCGTGCGTGGTGGAGGGTATCAAAAACAGGGGAGGCGTGTAAATCCAAGTACAGTCAGTAGTAGCTAGGTATGTACTAGGTTTATAATGTCTCATGGTATGTAATGTACGCTTGGACAACTATGTTGCAATAAGGATTTTCTGTTTGTAACTTGCTCAGTTTTTACCGAGTAGGTTGAAAATGAGAAGAGAATGTCATGATCAACCGCCGCCAATGGTCTCCTGGTGGACTAGACATGTGGATGCGCTCTTAGAAAACGACACCTGCCCTGCCCTGCCATGCAAATGCAATGCGATGCGATGCGATGCACTGCAGCAAGAAAGCACTCGGCTTCTTGTGGAGGAACAAGCCGTCCATGTCTCGATTTCCCCCCAATCTCGACGAATCTGGCGTTAGTATTCGGCTCCAGTCATCATCTACAGGTTCATCTCGTGGCCTTTACCTCAAATTGATCAATGTGAGGCGGGCAGATCAGACGACTCCAGTGGACTCTAGAAGCAAGTCATCAAAGCACAGCAGTTTGAGCTCGAACTGACGTACAGCTTCCAGCGCAGGGCTCGCAAGTCATGCCACCTAGGTGATGGATCTCGGGTTTGATGGTAGGACTTGCCATTTAAACCGTATCAAGATGCGATCACCAGGGGCCTTGTACAGCTAATGGGATCGCGAGACGCTGGAACAGGGAACACGCTCATTGATACCGATGATTATCGGCCGTAGTGCAAAGGCATTCCAAGTCCGAGGACGCAGTACCGGTGAGACCGGAGAGCAATTCACTGTGCTTCGCGATTAAAGCAGCTGTCCGCATCGGATGTGCATGAGCCGTGACAGCTTCTGAGAGCTTAGTGATGACTTCCTATTGTGAAGGGCGGATAGCCACAGTGACCGTTGGAAGACGTGTCACGGTGGCTTCAAGTACCATGGACATGGGCAGAGCATACAAGGCGTTGTTGCTGCAGATTCCAGGACTGCCACCGTTGAGTTGCAACCTTGAAGCTGCACAGAAACGGGGCGTCCTCTCCATTCGTAGGTGTCAGTCAACCGGACGGACCATAGTGTGGAGTTTCAGTCCCAACCAACGGTTTTCGACACAGTTGCAGGGCTTAGGTCCATTGCGGACAAAGCATATGGTTTCTTGATATATGTTGAATGATAATATCGCCTGAAAACATCAATGGCAAGTGCAACAGTGGCTGCTGGCATGTCTCATGGCATAGGCTATCATGAGACATTCCAAGACGACAGGGAAGCTTGGTAGGCCAGTACTATTGTAGGCCATTGAGATTCCATTGTCATGGAAAGAGCCTGGAAATCACGATTGGTTATGTCACACTTTAGTGCTCATGATGCTGACTCCCGGAGCTGTTAAACGAACCGTATCGTTGCAACTGAATCGAAAGGCGATTGATGAACCACAAATCTGTCAGGGTAATGCTCTTCACTATCAGTAAGTCCTAAGTCAAGAGACTCAACCCGAACGGATCTTCAGGCATATACCCTGTCACAGCAGTCCTGAATCAACTGTGCCATTACTCACCAACTACCTAGATTGATGTGGTAGATGGTGGACCTCGCATTCTGCCCTGTGGTTAGTGTTCGTTAGTAAGAAAGCGGGGGAGGGGCGAGTAGAGGTAGAGAAAGATAGAATACCCGTTGCAATGGATGCAATCATGACACTTTGTCCGAACATTGTCCAATTAGAAACCAAGAGGAACTGACCGTTCTTTCTACTTTTTCTCATGTTCGCATTAAGTCAAGTGTGCTTAGTAGGAGGTCGAACTGAACGAGGACGCAGAGGACATAACCCAGAGAAATCGTAGATGAAGCATTAAGAAAGGTCATGTTATAGTGGTGATAGTGGATCCATGGAGTTGTGTCTAAGAGCTGTGGGCTTGCAGTGGTACAAAGTTCAACGATTGAGTCAATAGTCGCGCGAATTGAACCCATGCTATACGTAGATGAATGGTCGATGAGGCTCTGCGTAATTGGGAAGAAGAAAAAAATTGATATGGCACGTGAAACATTTGGGAGTAGCCAGAAGTAAAAAGCAAATTCAGCCAAGAATGGTGACAGATGGCAGGATGGACGGAACGTCCTGTCCTGGCCCTGCCTGGTCGGCTCAGCCTGTGCTGCCATCAGAGATACCTACCTGGTCGTTAAACCACACGCACCTTCCCCCCACCATCCACCACCCTCTCCTTGGTCTTCTATTCCGCCTTAGTTAAGGTTCTTTGGAGGCTTCTAATACGTGCTACGTATTGGATTGCTCCTGCCAAACCTACCTTATGGCACACCATTCCAGGAAAGGTCCTCAAGCAGGGCAGGTGTGAGAGAGAGAAAGAGAGGAGACCCTGACCCCCCATCAATTGGATTGACTGACCCCTCGATCGGGTCCCTGGAATTCAGTACCGTCCCTTGTCTACCTAATGTCAATCAATCCTTTCCATCCCACCGTCACAACAACGTCTGGTAATTATCTTGACAACGCATCAACTCCTTACTGTACTCTCCTGTACAATTGCAGAGAGCAATAATGCCAGAAATTGCCCGACCTGCTGCAGCTCTACCCGACCCGCCGCCTTGCGTTCGCTTCTCAACCCACACCCTGTCAACTATTTCTCGTGGACCAATCCTCGCCTAGTCCATTGCATGGTGTCTATCTTGACCATCGCAGCGCATCGCCTCTTCTCCTCTTCTCGACACGTCTGAGCTTTTCTGGTTAAAACGCCGAACGACGAGGAAAATGCAATTGGATGGGGGGGTGTAGGCAGATTTGCGCTTGGCTCAGAGCTTCAAGATGAAAAATCCAATGCTGCTTTTCCATCAACTTCGCCTTTTTGGCTTTACTTAGCGTCAGCGCGCTTGTTTGCGACTCTCTCCGCTCCGTCTCGTCTCCATCCACGGTGCTGCCTGCTCCCCTGCAACAGGGAACCAGACGCAGTTCTAATGCATGCCAAAATTACACAGCGGATACAATCAGGAATTCTGCAGTTTCCGGTATCCGCAACGTTTCCACGCAGTTTCTCCTTGCTCAAAAAGCTGAAACTTGATATGGCGGTGGAATGCCAAGAGGCTTATAGGCGGTTGGTGATCTCTCACTGATATCCGTTTACACGGTGAGGCAACCAATGTCTTTTTTCTTGACGCCCACCACCCAATGTTACCCGCTACTCCAAAAGGTATCGGAAGCCGGCCGATTCAGATGTATTCTGTATGGTACAGATATGCCTTGTGAGGGTGTGGGCATCGGTGTCTACTTTACTGTCCTTGCCTAGGTCCATCTAGCCTACTGTCCAACCAGTCAGCGTCAGTCCCATCGTTCGTTGCGTTGTCCGTTTGGCTCTTTCTTACCACGATCCATCTGCCTGCTTTCAGTACGCTACAGTCTCGTACTAGTTATCGCCAAAAAGCAGCAAGCCAGCCTAGTTTACGCCAGCCATGTCCCTCACGTCACTCGACCACGAACCCAAGCCAAGAGTGGCCTCGACTTGCCTCCTCCGCTGCCCAACTACCGAGTTATTGTACTTCTACGCTCAGACGGCCGACACTACAGTTCTCAACAGGCCAGTCAAGCAAATATCGGTGGGAAACCGCACCGATCGCTTTTTTGCCCCAAGACAAGTTCTACACATGGTTCTTATCCCTTCTCAACACTTGGGCCCAAGGGCTAGTGCAGCCACTGGTGTCTGTTGATGGGCCCGGGTATGCATGGCATCTTAGCAACATCTCACTTTCTTTTGCCCTTCGACTGGTAGATTGTACTTTACGGTCTAGTTCGGCCCCTTCCACGCTGGGTTTTCTCTCGGTCTCCGCTCCAGCACACAGATATGTATACTCTTTCCATGAATCAATTATTCATTGGCACATGCATCGTCATGTCCCTGTCTGGCGCCTTTGGCACAGAGCCATTGCCCTTTCAAGCACATATCCCAGTCTTACTCTTGGATTTGTCCGGTAGATGTCACTTTGACCTCAATGTGGTCTCCATTTTTTCCAATTTCTTAATTGTTACATCTTACATCTATGATTGCGGTCTTTGCTCTCGGCATATGCACATGCCCTTGCTCATCCTAGACTGGTCTTGTTACACTCAGCCAACGGCGTAGCTCAAGGCCGTTTACAATTTTAACGTCACTGCATTGCTCAAGCAGAGACCCTGAAGCGTGTTGAAGCCACACGCTTTTGTTTTATTTTACTCTTGTCATATTCGAAAGATTCGTTCTCTAACTTCACCCTCCCCGTAAAGCCCTATCTTGACCATGTTTTCCCACTCTTCTCTTTCGTTGGTCCGGTTGTCAACCAGCCATACGTTCGGGTACTGTCTGTACCATTTCATAACCCTCCCAAGACTCCTTTGCCGCTCCTAACCCCCCTAGTCGCCCTCCTAGCAGTCCTAGTTTTGAAGGTTTGTTACCTTGTCGTCGCTCTCCGTGATGGCCCACACCTCTGCATCTCGTTGTGATCGTCTCGTCTAGTCCCTCGATCACCTCTCTACCATGCCATTATCCTGCCGCATCCCATTGCACGCCCTCGTGGGCGGGGCTTTTACCTGTTGACGAATCGTTTTGGGATGAGTTATCCTGAAGTTGTTCCGGTTTGGCAGCGGAGGGTCTCTGAAAAAGTATAAAAAGGCCAGAGTTGATCAAGTTGAAGGTTTATTCTTCTTCCTTTCTCATCACTTCTCAATCAACTTCAAACTCGAAGCCTCAGCTTACTCAGTACTCACACCAAGTCTCTTTGACTTGCTGTCTTGATATACAACTATTCTACCTCAAAGTGAGCTTTACTTGTTCAAAGTCAACTTGGCATTGAACCATCACCCAAACCACCTCTCGAAATAGTCAATTGGCATAAACACAACTTCCTCCCTTCTCAAATCACCATGTCTTCCCACTACACTTCTGCGGGCTACTCCATGCCTCTTCCCGTTCCCTCTAAGGGCTCCCACTACCCCACCTACAGTCAATATTCCGTCTCGCCTCCGGAATGTGATGACTCGGTTAGCTCTGCCTCGGGCATCCCCTCTTACAGCAATGGTGGATACTCGGCTACCTCGTCCGGCTACACATACTCTGGCGGATACGGCGACTATGAGAGCACTCGCTCTGCTAGTGGCGTGGACTTCCAGGAGTACATGCAGGACCGCTTTGCCAACTCGTTTGACCCAATTCCTCTTGACCGCAGCATGGCCATGCAGGCTCAGACGTAAGTGGACCTATCCCAACCATTTTTCATGATCGCCGCGACAGATCCCTGTTTGTGTGTCGGTAAACTCATGGAAAATGCACTCGCTTGCCGTAGCCGGCTTGCAAGGTTCTTTTAACACCGTACTAACTCGTTGACAGATCCGGAAAGATGAATGCCAAACACAGAGAGCTCATGGAGCTACAGAAGAAGGCACAAGCTCGCCTTGCAAAGACACGCGAGCGCTTCCAGGAGGGTATGCGCGACGCCCATGAGGTTCGCAGCGACCTTGAGTGGACACAAAAGAAAGTTGGGTAAGTCGGATTTGATACAATGCATTCTTGTCAGATTGTTACAAACCCAATCTGTGGTTTGTCCATTCTAGCGAGTTCAATTTGCATCATTCATGGATTTGTAACATGGCGACTAACCAATTGCCATAGTTCGCTGAAGACAAAGGCTTCTCGCAAGCACGGCAAGGAGTACAGCAAGGCTCGCGCCCGATACCCGTCGCCTGAGAACTAGATTCTTTTCAGAATCAACTTTGGAGCGGCATCTTTACTTTAACGACAAAATTATCATCTAGCGAGCAACTTTTATCTCATGACCAACTTACTCAACTTTCGCACATAAAATATGTTTCTGCGAAAAGAACGCCCGATTGGATTTTTGGTATTTCAACAATGATTTTCTTTTGTACTTAATATCGCGAATTTCGCATTTGCCAGGACACCCTCATATTTGACCTGCATGAACGAGTAGTTCATGCAGGGGGAATGGGAGGTGACGTTGGAATCAGGGGCACTAAGCGCGGCAAATTGAGCCGCTTGACGCGAGGTGCCTTGCTGCTTTTAACACAAACGACAGGGCAGGTGTGCAGACGGCTTTTAGCCAGGAACGCCAGCCTTGTGGCTACTGGAGCCAGTGTGGGGGAAACACACAGAGAAAGCGGAAATGGGCGGCTGTTTCACGACTTATGGCTTATGATTGGATGAACTGGACGACCTAGGGGCGGTTGTTAAAAGTACGCCTCCTCCCAAGCGTCTGTGGGGGTGCCAGGGGATAGCGTCAGCAGGTTGGCATCAAAACATGATGTGTCGGCACCGATCGCTGCATGGGCGATGGGTTAGGAAGCATCTCTGGGGTGTGGGTGACGCGGGACCAGCCGAGGACTGCAACGTCGTCCGACTTATCGGTTTTGCCGAGGGGCGTGTATTGAGTGATAACCCTGGAAACCACGGAACCAAGACGATGACGGGATGGAGAATAGCAGCGGGTTTGTAAAGCAGTGTATTTGAGACGCTTGCCCTAATCAGGGGAGGCAGTGATGTGAAAGGATCTCCATTGGGTAACACGGGGGAATGAAGAGCTGATGGAGCCGTCTTGGGCAAGGCAAGGGTCTGTGAGAACGTTTTCTTTGTGGGTATCTCGACCGGAGTACGGAGTCTTCTACCAGTTCTCGTAGCAAGCAACATCTTATTTCCCCTCTTTGACAGACGGCGTGTTCCCGGAACTAATTGATGTGATAACCCCCCCGTAGATGTGATTGACCTGCTCCCCACACCCCTCCGGTCCATCCTGAGCCAGTGTGAGGGAGGTAGCGCATGTGGTTTGAGGTATGCTGGTGTAGTAAGTTGCCGTCCCGTTGTCCTGGTGCTTTGAGGTTGGAGGATCCCTGTCTAAGATCACGTGTTGGTGCACGTGATATGTGATCATATATCAAATCCTGTGGTAATGACCAAGCCAGAGCAAGGAAGCGTGCCGGTGCTCCAAGACATCAAACGATGTGACTTGACTTGGATACCCAGGCGGTATATGGGCGCGGTTCGAGCCGTTCCTCTTTGAGGATCACACCGGTCAATATCTTGATAACTCAAGCCGCCGCATCTGTTGTCGCCACAACGTTGTCGTTCTTCCGGACGATCCACGTTCCCTGTGTCGTCAAACCGCGGGCTTTCTCGATTCTCTCCCATGGATTCTCGTTAGATAGGTGATCGTAGTATCCAATATACCAAGTATCCCTGCGCTCATGGGCGACCGAATCTTGGCCCTGGCGTGGTATCAGCGCTGGTGCAGGCCGTTGAGGCAGACCAGCTGGGCGCACTTGCGCGGGGGCTTTTTGTTCAGATGCATCATCCTTTGAGTCGTCCTCGTCATCAAGGGCAATCTCATCCGTGTTAGAGGGGGTACCCAAGGCTGTGGAGTTTGCGCCGGTTGCAGAAGACTTTGATGGCAGTGCTGCATCTGCGTTTGGGTTGTATCTACGACGCTTTGAGGGTGGTGAAGCAGCGCCGAAGGATGAGAAGCCCATCTGAGCCATAAGGGCTTCGTCGACAGCTTCGACGTCGTTGTCTGAGGGGTCCATCTTGGATGGGTGGGCCCGGCTGCAGTCTCAGAAATCTATGACTGTGGTGATATTCGATGTGACAGGCGTTTTAATTATGTTTGGGCAATGCCATGTCGACAGTGGATGAGATGGAAGTCGAGTGAAACTGAGACGGGATGAAAAAGAATGAGGCGCGTTTGGCGTAAATGGAATATGGGGTTAAGGCGTAGTGGAATTGTGGCTGTCGGGCATCGATTGTGGCTTGACACCCTGTAACTTACATATCGCCCTGGGTAGGGAAGCCGAATGCCGGCATTTGAGAGGAACAAGGGTTGCCAAAAAAAAGACATTGTTTTTATGCTGAACAGCATAATTAGGTATCTTCTATTCTCGACAGAGCACCAGATATACAGTAATACGTCCATAGGGGTTACTTCAATGCGTCGGCATTATAAACAGTTAAATCTGACTCTGCTCACTGACATTCGAGATGAAGACGGAAAATAAGTGACATCAGACTGATGACCAAGGGTAGTCAAACATAAAAGAGCCAGGATAATTTATGCAGTGCTAGGAGCATTCGGAGCATTAGACGAAAACCAGCGAATGAAAATAATCTTTACCTACTGCTTGTGTGACGGATCTGCGGCTTCTGAAGCCTGGCGTGTTTCATTCCTCGGGTGAGATAAAATTAGGTAGTACCAGACCAGACAAGGCCCTTTGTTGAGCTTGAATTTTCATGTGAACTTTTCTTGCTTTTTTCTTTCTTCTTTCTCCATCTTCTTCTTCTCTATTCTTTCCTTACCTAGTTTGATCACTCTCCATCGCATCTCATAAGCTCCAATCTATATCCCAGACTAAGATCTGCGCTGTTATTCAGATCTACCTACACTAAATCAACTACATCACCATTATGGCGGAACAAAAACCCATCAAGCTCAACCCTCCGACCAAGTACAGCCCATCCACCAAGAACTCTCCTCCTGTAGACCCTCCCACTCTCGATTGGATTACGACGACATGGTCCGTTACGCACTCAACACTCTCCATGTGGCGCGATGCCCGTAACGTGCGCATCACATACAAAATGCTCCCAGGAACCTCAGATGGCCGCCCTCGCATCGACGACCTCGTCGAGTATGAGCCCCTATCCAAGGATGGCACCCTCAAGACCGTTGAGGGCGTCGATACCCAGGCTTCTTCTATCGGCTGGGACTGGCGTGGCAAGGGGTGGCTGTCCATTGTCCACACTCACTGGGAGCTACTGGGCTGGGGCGAAGTTGTCACTGCAGAGGGCGTGAAGGAGAGGTGGGCAGTTACTTGGTTTGCACCAACGATATTTACCAAGGAGGGAGTTGACATTTACTGTGATCGAAAAGAGGGTTTGAGTGAAGCGACTTACGCAAGGGTTTTGGAGGCTTTGAAAGGATCCGAGTCCAAGAAGGTTGCTGAGTTGGTTGAGACCCATATGCAGCCTGTTGAGATCAGACTACCTTGGGTTGAGAACTGAACTTGCTGTATCTAATTTTGGTTTATGAGAGGGGGATGAATACTTAATAGCTTGGTTAGCATATTTTTTAAGAGTTTGGCTGCAATATACCCTATGATCTAAGATCAACTACAACATACCTACACACATCAAATACAGCACCAGTTTTCTACCTTCCCAAATTGTCCTCGCAAATTACCTTCGATAAGCCGGGCACGGTTGCGGAGGTAAAAGATATAACTTGATTTCACAAGAAAAACGTGTTATCACAGCATAGAGTGCATGACGGTTTCTCCACGACCTTGGACGTATTATCGGTAGCCTCATCTGTTTTATCGAAATGAATCTATTTCATGAAATGGCATAAAGAGTGGCCAAAAGGGTATCATGCAATGCTATTGTGGTTCATGACGACTCTGTCGTCGTTCGTGGTCCTCTCTCTCGAGACCGCAGATCTCGTTTATCACGAGACTCTTTGTCATATCTCCCACTCCGCTCCCTTCGGGCTTCGCCCTCATCATGGCGCCTTCTCTCATGCCGAGATCGCTCTCTGTCATGATGCTCATATTTCTGGGTCCGCGAATCTTGTTTTCGCTCACCATCATTCCGTCGCTCTCTGGATGGGTGTCTTCGCTCGCGGCGGTCCCGCGATCTTTCCCGTTCACGGTCACGATCTCTGCTTCTGTTTCGTTCTCTACTATATTCCCTACCTTCATGTCTCCGTCGTTTCTTCTCACGATGTCGTTCATCCCGGCGCATCTTCTTCAACTCCTCTTCTCTTTCTTGTTGGAAACGTTTTCTGTCCTGTTTCAGCTCCCGAATTTTTGATGCTCCCTGTTTCATCATAGCCAGAGGATCATTAGATACAATGCGTTTGGCATCTCTTTCCTTTCGGTTTGGATCCTGATTGCCCCATACATCTTTTGAAGAAGCATCAGGGGCTGCAGCATCAGATTGTGAATACCATGGCCGCATAGCACCATCCTTCCCTGCCGCATTTGTGAAGCGCATCATATACTGGTCTTCGTAGCTTTGTTTCTTCTTCTTTGCTTCTTTCTCGGCCTCTTCATTCTTCTCTGCGTGCGCCCTTGACTTCTCATCGCCTAGCAAATCAATATGTCCATTGCGGTCCATAATCGGCGCCGAGCTCGTATTTTTACGCTCAAGTTCAGTTCTTACGAGAGTTGAACTATCATTCTCCCTGGCTATCCGCATTTCGAAATCGGTATCGTCTTCGCCGGGTCGCTTTCGTTTTCGTCGCATGCCGCCTTTATGCGAGGCATCGTGATTACGACCGGAGGGCTCATCTGGTCTGTGTGGCTCTGGTTCTTCAATGTGCGGAGGTTCTTCACCGCGTAGAATGGCTAGTCGGCGTTGGGCATCAATCTCCTGCATACGCTGCTCTTCCCCTTCCTCGGCGGCCTTTGCGGCAGCTTCATCGCGACGGACGCGCGCGATGTTGTCGGCATTGTAGACGTTCCACGACTTTTTCCCTAGCAGATGACTATAATTCGGTTAGAGTTGCGCGCCAGCGTTGTTGGGTTGTCCTACTTACAGTGGCATCTTGAGAGTTGGTGTGAAAGGAAAGAACTAAACATCGAGCCTCGGTGCAGAAGCTCTCCGTCCGGAATGCGGGGCCGAAGATGACATAGGTACTACTAACTAAGGTACTGTAAGCCCCTGATAATGAATGCGTATTGCCCCTCCATTCATCAGCGTCCTGTCATGTCCTGTTCTCCTAATCATGAGGTAAGTTTGTACAAAGCTCAAATAGAATCTCAGGCAGAAACTGACGAGATGTACCTTAGTTCTATTACTTAGCCAAAAGTCTTGCTCGTACCTAAGCCTCAAAGTCGAATATCTTTAGAACTTCATACAGTACACTGTTGAAGAACTGTCCTAACAATTGGCCGAATTCAGTAAGCTGTGGATCTGGGTGGCTCTATATGTGCGTCTTGATTGGCTGAAAGCCTGATTCAATACTGCTACACCTACAGTGTCAGCATAGGTAGAGGTTGGGTATGCGCAGCTGGCTAATCCATCCATTAACAAGACACGACACCTGTACTTACTTTCCTAGCTAGTATATAAGGCAGCCAACCCAAGCTTTCGTCGACCGAACTTGGACTTTGCAACCTCGTATACACACACATCGACAATGTCCAGAACACCTTTCAGTGGATTCATGGGTGGCTCCCGAGGCCAACAGCCTCCTCCACCTCAGCAACAGCAAGGCTACGGTGCTCCTCGATATAACGACCCTCGCCAGCAGCAACCTCCTCAGAACTACCAGAGCTACCAAGGCGGAGGCGAAGGCAGTGGCTATGGAGAGAAGCCCTCGCGGTCTGGTGTTCGTCAAGTCAATCTTCGAGTTGAGAAGGTCACAGACAAGTCCCTACAATCAAGATTGATCTACGGTAACCTGTATGTATTCACACTCTTGAATCTTTGAATTTGAACTAACATCTGAATAGATGCGCCGTTTCTCCCGACGATTTCCCTTCTAACCGCGATGGGTCCGATCTCTATATTCTCCTCCGAGGAGGCCAACCTGTTGGCGAATACGTTGTCACCGCAAAGCCTGTCCCTGGATTCCCCCAGGGCTGCATCAGTCTGTCAGACCCTCAACGATCATGGGCCGGCATCACTATGCGAGATATGTTTACTGGAGAAATCTACGACCCTTTCGCGGCCGGAGGCAAGGCATACCTGGGCTCGGTCGATCTCGAAATTGGCTTCGCTTCTCCCAACAAGAAGACCGATGTTCCTTACGATGAGGACGAGCTCTCCAAGATGTTTATCGAGACATATCAAAATCAGGTACTCTCGCCTGGTCAGCGCATTCTGATGGATCACCGAAATATTCCTCTCCTCGTCGTCGTCAAGACAGTCTCATTGACAGATTTGGCCATGACTTCGGATGACTCCTCCAAGAAGGCCCAGCGAGAACCCCAAGCCAGAGGTATCCTGACGACTCAGAGCCAAGTTATTTTTCATCGCGATGCAAAGGGTGACTTCAACCTGAAGCCTTCGATGCATAAGCCTAATTCCAACGCCATCCTCGCTCCGGACTTCAAGTTCGAAGATATGGGCATTGGTGGTCTTGACGATGAGTTCGCCACCATTTTCCGTCGCGCATTTGCTTCTCGTATTTTCCCCCCTGGTTTGATTGCCAAGATGGGTATTACTCACGTCAAGGGATTGCTGCTATACGGTCCTCCAGGTACCGGAAAGACTTTGATTGCCCGACAAATTGGTAAGATGTTGAACGCCAACCCACCCAAGGTTATCAACGGACCTGAAGTGCTCAACAAATATGTTGGTCAATCCGAGGAGAATATCCGAAAGTTGTTCGCTGAAGCAGAGAAAGAGTACAAGGAGAAGGGAGACGAGAGTAGTCTGCACATCATCATCTTTGACGAGCTGGATGCCGTCTGCAAGCAGCGAGGCTCGGGATCCGGTGGAGGTACTGGTGTTGGCGACAGTGTGGTGAACCAGCTTCTCGCCAAGCTCGATGGCGTTGATCAGCTCAACAACATTCTTCTGATCGGAATGACCAACCGAAAGGATATGATTGATGATGCTTTGTTGCGACCTGGTCGTCTCGAGGTGCACCTCGAGATCTCACTTCCTGATGAGGCGGGCCGACTCGATATTCTCAAAATCCACACTGCCAAGATGAGCGCGAACGGACTGTTGGACTCCAGCATTGATTTGGAAGAGCTGGCTGGTTTGACCAAGAACTTCTCGGGTGCTGAGATCAGTGGTCTGGTCAAGGCAGCTGCATCTTGTGCATTTTCACGACACACTGAAGTTGGTCAGCTTGCTGCAGTGAAGCAGGATGTTGCCAGCATGAACGTGAAGCGCGAAGATTTCATGGTGGCTCTTACTGAGGTGCGACCTGCTTATGGTGTCTCAGAGGCTGAGTTGATGGAGGCTATTCGCTTGGGTATTTATCCTTACGCGCCACACATCAACTTGACGATCCAGCAAATGATGCGTGTCGTCGGCATGGTCAAGGAGGACCCGAACAAGTTCAGTACATCGGTGCTTTTCCATGGTCCTATGGGATCCGGCAAGACCGCTCTGGCTGCACACATCGCAATGCAGTCAGGCTTCCCCTTTGTCAAAATGGTTACCCCCTCGGACCTCGTTGGATACCGCGACGACTTTGCCAAGAAGGACTATATCCACAAGGCATTTACAGACGCATACAAGTCACCTGCAAGTATTCTAATCTTGGACGACTTTGAGCGTCTGATTGGATGGAACCCTATCGGACCTCGTTTCTCTAACACCATGTTGGAAGCATTGACGACTCTGATCGTCTCCCGACCTCCCAAGGGCCACCGTCTCTTGGTGTTTGTTACCACTTCGAAGGCCTCGGTACTCAAGATGCTCGAGATCGATAACGACTTTGCCAAGAAGGTCGCCGTTCCTGGCGTATCTAATTTGCGCGAGCTAGCGGCGGTTCTGCATGAGTCGCCTGAGTTTGACTACGATGTCAACGCCACAGTCAACGAGATCGGTCAACAGACAGGCTCTGACAGTGTCGGCGTAGGCATCAAGACGATTTTGGATTGTATCTTCGAGGCCAAGAGAGATCCCAACGGGCAGGTCGTCGAGGCATTCGTAGAGCTGCTCGTTGGTAAGATTCAGGAATTAAGGGCATAGATTGTTTCGTAAATGTATTGAATAGAGTCTGAAATTCCCAATACTGATCTCTCGACCGGTCGAGGTTTGACTGTCCTGAAATTCTGTAAGCTGGTGGTGACCTCGTTCTGATATTTAATGCAATATTGACTCGTATGTTGGATATTCACGGCTACTGAATAACTATTCCAACCAAGCACATAATGTTGACTACGCAGGGTGGGTTAATCAAATGCCATCTCACGATGCGAGACTTGAGCTTTTCAGCCGTTTCAATGTCTTAGATCGGTTAAACTTAGTCGATGAAATTGCAGCTGCAGATGTGGAACCGCGTTGGAAGCTAGGTACTCAGATATGCTCGAGTTTATCATCGTGTAACAGTGACATTGGGCATCATGATCGTCTCGATCGTCTTTCAGAACGCGGCAGCATGTAACCATGAAGCGTACATATCGAGAAAGGCTGATCACATGGCTATCGCCCCAAGCGGGCTAATTGCAAGAAGATGCATTAGTGAGAGTGCCAGGATGATAGAGCATGTGAGGATCCATCTATACAGATACCATATGTTCACAAGAGCAACATGAAGTGCCTGGTCAAAAAAAAACAAAAAAAGAGTGGCTGGAGAAAAAAAGAGCACAGGCTCCGGATGGTTTATCGGAGCGGGCCCTTCTTGTCATGAACATGAACCGCTCTCCAGATCTGATCTTGCTTGATTCGGCCGGGGCAGCGGCTGCGGAAACGGCCCATAGTGGGCGGCAAGAGAGGAATCTTTCTCGAATTGATAGGCGGTCAACACCAAAACTCAAAAGAACCCATCACCACGAGTCAGTTATGCTTTTGACGTCCAACCATTTCCCCTCCAGCGGGGTCCCCGGCCGACGTCACGCAATAAGTTCTCTATTCAGCGCATTTCTAACGAGTCAAAGCAAAGGTCATTGGGTTCCTTGCAGTGTTAGTGAGAAGGATATGGATGGGGAGTTGTGTTGATCTGGCGCGGTGGTGACTGTTTGGAGTCGGGACCGAAGACCACACAGTCTCTCTAAACTGTCCGTTTGTGGGGATATAATGTGATATGCGAGGAATTGATGCACTCGTGCAATGTCATTGTTAGGGTTCAACATTATCTTGTCCAAGTGGTACCTAGTACTAGCCATAGCATGAATGGCGGCTCACTGAGCGATGCAGGCCAAGCAAATAAGACAAGGCTTACAGAGATGACCAAAACAGGGCTGCAGGATTATTTACATGACCTCGATAAGCGTCCATCCATACGTTCAATACAATACCATGAGGATTTTGTGCATGTCAGTCTCGTCTGACTTTGCCAGTCTCGAGTACTCTGCCCTTACCCTGAACCTGGACCTGGGCCTGGACGGTAGGTAGACTGCCGAGACAGGAAAAGACTACGGATGGTTCCCCGGCACCCGAACAACTGGTGTCGAATCAGATCCTAAAGCTTGACTTGGGTCTTGAGTCTAAAAGGTTCGTCGTAACAGTGGGTGCCATAGATCGGAGGCCATGGATCTATTTGGCGTTGTCATACTGTGAGTGTGAGCTTGAGCCTGAGCTAACACATGAAGGATTCATTGACATTGCGCGAGTGACAAAGAAAGAGAAGATAGAGGAGAGAATTATGTTGGCTTCCTTAGTGATGAAAAAATGAGGATACGTTATGCCAAGAGAGAAAAACGTGATGGACCATGCATTATGCATTAGCTGCGCTGCATTGTCGGTCATGGGATTCTCTTTCTGGATCGATTGAGGGTAGGGACAGAACAGGACCTGTTACCCCCGCCGGACCTTGAAGCAATCAATTATCGTACAGTATCTGAAAATCCCCTCATGGCATATTTACTGTTTAAAAAATTCTATCAGGATTGATACCCAAGAGCGATACCGTACAGTACGCAGCATACATAAGATAGATCGACAAAACTGGGCATTAATTCTAGATTCGACACGGCCAACAGCCTAACGTCCCGTCTCGGACTTGACCAAAACTCTGTCCGAACATTGAAGTGGAAATTGACTCGCACTTTGCTTGAAGTGTGTGCCTCTTCTCTGTCTTTTGGAGGTTTGTGGTTTGTTAGCTTTGCAGCAACGTCGAGGCATGGGCCGATAAGCAAGTAGAGGGTACTTGGCTTTAATCCAATGGCTGGGTGCGACAGGGATGTCTTGGTATGCGAGAACGGGCCGAGCTGGGAACCGTTCTGCCGTTGAGGGCTCAGCTGCAGGTACTGAGTACTTCTTGACCTCGGACGAACCAATTGAGACCTCGATAGAGGAAGAAAGCCTGGTCTGGTTTGTACCAACATCAAGGTTATCCCTGTAAGAACTGACTGCTTTGGATTTTTGTCAACTGTGTAGACTACCCGTAACCCTGTACAATTACAATTATTTCTCGATCATTGAGAGAGATGGGAACACAAGAAATTGGTGATTGCCATGGATGGATGTTCGCTAGTATCCATGACTCCCATTCTTTGGCTTAGCACAGGAGGCAAACAGTTCGTGTCAAGTCAAGTCCAGCTGAACTGCATCACCAATCAGATTGCTGAGCAACAGTCTGGAAGTCGGGAGAGAGCTGGAACTAGCTCGTCAGTGACCCTTCCGTTGGGTTCAATGGGGCACGAATACCGCACTCGAGGTACAGGAACCAAGATAATCGAGTACAGTCCAGGCGTCAAAAGGTACAGCTACAAAACTGACCTGAATCAATAAGTGCTATTCTTAAGTGCTAGGTTGACTCTGCCCCACACCCTCTTCGTCTCTCCCACGATCCCATGTGCCAACCTAGTCCAGTCCAGAGCCCGGTCCCGCGCCATTCAAAGCAAGCGTCTTGCTCTGGCTCTGGCTCTGGCTTTGGTTGGAGAGTAGAGGAGAGAGGATCGAAAAGTCTCTCTCTCAATTGCTTCTGAAAGTGCTCTTCGCTTTTCCTCCTCTTCACTTTGCTTTTTACGTGTGAGACAGATCGAAAGGGCTTGACTAGGGTCCTCTTGTCGTATCGCGTGCCGGTATTCTGCTCAGATATTACACGTCTGTTTTTTCGCATACAGCGTGACTCTTCTTCTTTTTTTACGACCCCTCTGTCTCTCGTCTTTGGCTATCTGTCTGTCTATCTTTTTGTCTGCCGTTGGTCGACGACGATCACTCAGCCAGTTTGATACATCCAATACAACCAACAACCGACCTACTCAAATGTCAACATCAACAAGAACAACAATACTCTGCTAACATAACAAAATTCTTGCTTCTTTGCTTTATGGCTTTGTCATGTAAGTCACTTGTTTAATTGCTTTGCTTTTCTTTTCTTTACTTTCATTATGACATCAGTTCCACACTTCAAGATTGTCCGTGTTGGAAAGTCGACCAGGTTATGCCATGCTTGTCGTCTCGCCAGGCCTCAGGTTGGTCCCGGCTGGTAATTAATTTACAGTGCCGCTACTAGCATAACAGGGCAATCTAACGTTGTTGATGGTCGATGGTCCAGGCACAATACAAACACATGCTATTACTTTCCTCTTCTCTTTACACCCCATATTCTTCATATCCATATCGGACTCGCCGCTGTCTCTTGATTCTCAATTTCACCTTCATTTCTTTCCTTTACCTCCCTCCATCTCTCATCTCTCTCTATCCCCCACTACACTGCAGCCAGTGCACGCGCCAGGACCAGTACACTACAGCACAAACCGAACCACGATATGCGCGCCAGCTTTTACTGCCTCCAAATTACTTGCTGCTAACTCAATGCCTTAATTGCCAGCTCCTCTATCGCTTTGAGCACCTTGAGCTCTGCACTCTCTTGACCAACAGGCAACGCGCCTGCAAGCGGACGTGCCATGGAGGCCCTGGAGCCATCGTCTGCAGACCCGCTGCCGCCAGCGTCTGGTCTCAGCGCTGCGCCCCCAGTCCCAGTCCCAGTTCCTTTACCATCGCCTCCTCCAGCTGCAGCTGCGACTGCAACCACTGTCAAGGATCCGACGTCGACCAAAACAATCGATCAGCAAAGGTCTCGCTCTCGCTCCGGCTCAGGCCTTGTAACAGCACTCAAGAAAAAGGAAAACACCAGCCCCAACTTCTCGACGCCCGGTAAGTGGCCTTCTGTAAGGTCCACTACCACTGTCGCGCGCATGCCCACGAGTAACACCGTCGCGAAACCCCTGGTTCCTCTGTCGGAGCGAAGAATTCACCAAAAGAAGCATACCACTCGGAGTCTCAAGGACTCAGATTCCAGCGCTGACAACCAGGGCAGCATTTCCCGATGGGAAATTACCCCGGATGGCGGATCGGCAGGTCGAGAGGGACGACAGTTCACAGTTGCCAACGTTGGGAACAATGGCCGGATATATTTGAGGTAGGTTAAGATCTGAATCATCTCGTGTTTCCTCCTGTCAACCCAGGTCTCCCTTGGGAACATGCCTGCCACACTATCGCACTCTCCCTTTTGTGGCCTTTGCTCGCACTTTGTGGGGAGATGTCTTAGCAGCTTTGTTGCGATCCTATCTACCGTCGCCTTGGGGATATCGCAACGTGGCTGGCACGAGACACGACGCTTGCTCGTATTAACACTTGCGTGTCACAAACCACTGACTCCCATTCTTCAGGCCGACCGTTCGCCCTGCGTATCAGCGATGTCCTCAGCCTCAATTCGTCTTCCCAATCACACCACCCAGCACTGCAGGCTTGGATGCAATCCCTCAAAACAAACAGTCTCAAGACGAGACCAGCGAGCTTCACGTCAGCCAGTGGACCCCGACCGAGCCCTCGCCTTATGACACCAACCATCGAACGTACTTCGAGCACGATTCCTATCCGCTCCGACCTGTAAGGCACCGACGCGCCCTCTCCGATAGCACGGTTCACGAAGTAACCGCTGCGAAGGACTCGGAGCCGGGCGCCTTTAAGATCGTTATTTCCAAGCCGTTGGAGGAATATCGGCCACGGACTATGGAGGATTTTGATTCCAACTCTGATCCTCTTCTCGACATTTCGATCCCCTCCTGGCGTATTGGTATCCCACGATTTACCGGAAGAGGCACACCAATGATTCGCGGTTCTTCCTACGCTCCCACAGAGGAGTTTCGCTCCAGTAGCGCCTCGCTACTGAGCCGGCCTCAGGGTGTGCTCAATAGCTCTCATCCTGATATCGCATCTCCGAGACGACCGAGTTCCATGGCTGTCCCGATGCTTCGACTTTCAAGAAATTTGTCGGCCTTGACTCAGACTCCGTCAAGTGCGCAGTTCTCCAAAACCACCCGCCCCAGTTACCGATCCAGTTCAAAGATCGAACCAGCCATGTTCGACGATCTCACTTTCAAACCCGCTTGCGATGATAGAACACTCGTCAAATATTCTACGGTGACTGGTGCCGTCATAGCTGCTACGCCTCCGCGCCTTGTCGCTGAAATCACATCTCCCAGCTTCCTGGACTACGAACTCATCTCCGACTTCTTCCTCACCTTCCGGGCGTTTCTCGAGCCCGTGGATCTTCTTCGTATGCTCATAGCGAGATTACGGTGGGCTTTGGCTCGGGATGATGAAACAGGCATGGTAGTTCGCGTTCGCACATTTGTCGCTCTTCGACATTGGATTCTCAACTACTTTATGGATGATTTCGTTATGGATTACAACCTCCGACTCACTTTCTGTGAGCTACTCAACGACTTTGTGGATGAACTTTCCCAGTGTAAACGATCGCGAAAGGTTCAACTGAAGATTCTCGGAGAGCTGAAAAAATGTTGGCGAAGAGTTTGCGCACTTTATTGGGATGGCCCGGACTTTGACGACACCCTCGACTCTAGTGTACCGATCACCCCTGGCGGTATTGTAGGCCACCGAGATCCCAGTCTAGACCCGTCATTCTGGGAGCAGGATGGAGCCGAAACACCAAGGATACAAAGCTTGTTACCACTCCGGAGGAGCCCTGCCGAGCGGACTAGTTTCATCGCCGATATTTCTCGAGCTGGTCATGTTGGAGATACCGTCCTAGTAGAGCCTCGACCGAGCACACCACAAAAACAAGCCACAAGAGATTCTATGGAGCAACAAGCATCACCAATTAGCATGACAAGCATGGATATCGTTTCCTGCTCCTTTCCTAGTAAGGTCAAGCCTACAGTCCAGCCTACAGCCCAACCTCATCAGACGAATCCTCTGGCTGCCCATCCTGTGGCAACAACTTCACAACCCCATTCGGGCCCCGTAGCAACAACTCCTCGCGCGCTCGTAGGCAAGCGGGTGCGACCCCAGGCTGCTCATAAGCGCAACAACAGCTTGACTGATTCCTTACGAGAGCATAGCACGGACAAGTTGTCGTTCAAGGATCAGGAGTTCATGATGACTGCCCCCTACGCGGGTAGCCTTGTTCGCGGAAACCTGCTACCTCCAGGCCAAGCGTATGTCGACATTGAACCGGACGAGTTCTCTAATACCTTAATCCGAACTGTCAGCACCAACCACGAGAACCAAAGTCTCATCAAAGGGAGAACGCCTGCAGGTGCTATGTCCGGTCACGGAATGAAGAAACTTTTGGGCAGTGTGCGAAGAGCTTTGAGTACCAGGGGCCAAGGGATGTCGTCCACTCAAGGCAGCTTTGTTAGCATCAACAATATGGGCCCTCGAGGCGCTACAACTAACCGTATCCCTGGAACAGCTGTCGTACCTCAGAACCGCCAAAGACCAAACGGCTCCAGACCACCTCTGAGAATTGATTTGCTTGGTGCGGAAGTCGTTGAGGATTTCAAGAAGGCGGTACGGGATGAGGCCGCCGCCGAGGCCGATCGTCGTGGACTACCACCGCCGATGTCTCCCAACCCCTCTTTGACACCCACCGGTGAATTCCACTACTCTGCTGCTCATATGGACTCACACTCCTACGAGCACCTGCCCCACGACCAAAGGCAGCGGCCTGTTAGTGACATGGCAATTACCACAGGCAGCAAATCTATTGTTATCGTGGACGACACGACGCCCTTTGACCCATCTCTTCTGCATAGGATTCCTACTAGCAATGCTTCTGTTGAAGCTTTTGCTGATGCCTTCAAGCTAACAGGTGCTGACCCCACGCCCCCGTCTACGCCTCCCGCCGCTTATGGCACAGGAACACCTAGGCGCTCTTCATACCTGCTTAACCAACACGTCGTCCGCCCGTCGTTGGATGAGGATCCCCTGCCTCCATTTGTTCCCGATTTTGAAACTCTCGCCCCTGTTACCAGTGCTCCTATCTCAGAAGATGGCAACCGTGTGTCGTACTCGACAGCAGCCCGCAGCACGCGCAACCATCCTCCCGTGTCCTTCCAGAATCACCGACGCTTGAAGTCGGGCAGAACACATCGGTCATTGAATTCAATTCTACGTCGCCAAAGTTCCGGCACCAACGCCCTTGTTCGTCGATCTACTGTCCAGAGCTTCGACGCTACAACAGTGTCTGCGGGATCGATCGCTGAACCCGAAGAACCCGAAGAGCCTATGCCACAGCCCCTACGAATTCTACGAAGACGCCCAGGAGGAGACCTTCGAGCCGCTACGAATGTTGGAGAGTTGGATCCCGTCAACACACTCAGGAGATCACAGTCCGTTGGCTCACTCACAACATATTCAGAGTCAATACGCAGCTCTTTTGTTCAAAGCCCGCGCATGAATTCGTTTGGTCACGGTTCTTTCGGTCGAGGTTCCTACAGTCGTGGCTCTTATGGCAACGGCGAAGTTGTTTCGATTGACTACACGCAGCCTAAGAGCGAAGCTTTCTCGGTCGGACAACTTGCAGATAAGCCGAGACGAGATCTTTCCCTGTTCAGCACTCATTCATCCAAACCGGTAATGCGCCCTTCTTTTGAAAAAGAGGCACAAAAACTGGCTCAGATTCCTGATGATGACGACGACGGTGGTATCGAATCTGCACTAGCCAAATTGGAGGGAAAGCTCCCTACGAGGAGAGCCTACAAATCAGCTGTAGGTCTTCCAATGGGCCGGGCAGTCAGCGATAGCGTCGCCGCACATATCTTAGATGCCGAACACAGGAAGGAGCACCATGAGCAGCAAGTTGTTAGGGAAACATTTATGTTGGATCCTGAGGACAGCGAGCCTGAATCTATCATAGAGTCGCAAAGCCAGCATCTCACAACCCAACGACCTGTTACTGAAGCAAGGTCGTTCTTAACTGGCTCTTCTCACGAGTCGTACTGTTCTGTACCAATTCTCGAGCGGGACTCAGTCAAGGCTCGCCCATGGACCAACATGTCTATCTTGGAGGGTCCCGACGAAGAGAACACACCTCGTCCGCAGAAAACCCTCCTATACACTAACGACGAGGGCGACTCCCAGCACGCCTCTTACGACTTTGTAGAGAAGACACAGAGTATTGAAGGGATTAAGCCAGGTGACACAGCTCCATCGGTTGAAGAAGACCAGTCATTCCTCGACGACGACAGCGACCTCTCCTCTGAAATGTCTGCCGATGCTCTTGACTATGAAGAGTCTGAGTTTGGTGAGAGTCTGGTCCCACGAGTGAAGCTTCCAGCTCATCCTCTTGGATCTCCCGCGCCGGCTCCTAATCGCAAACCTCCCTCGCCCCCTATGACACTGGTGCAAGCCTTGGAGATGTCTCCCACTCACTGTGTTCATGTTCCTTCGCTACATGAAGAACAGGTCTGGGGACAAAAGCCACTACCTCCAACTCCCGAGACAACACCAACGGCCCCTTATGCTCTACAAACAGACCAGTCGACAGTCGATGGATACCGCCAAGCTGCTAAGCCAGAGTCTATTGAAAGCAACAAGTACTCGGCTCATTTGCCGTTTATTCTGGCATTTGACTCGGAGATTCTTGCACAACAGTTTACTCTCATTGAGAAGGATGCACTGAATGAGATTGACTGGAAGGAGCTTATCGATATGAACTGGAAAGATGCTGCTCACAGTGATTCTCGCTCGTGGGTCGACTTCCTCCGTAACTCCGATGCCCATGGCGTTGAGGTTGTTATCGCGCGCTTCAACATTATGGTCAAATGGGCCATCTCTGAGATTGTCCTGACACAAGGCCTCGAAGAAAGAGTGCGGTGCATTACCAAGTACATTCACATCGCAAACCACTGCCGCCGCTACCGCAACTTTGCCACTCTTGGTCAACTCACCATCGCTCTATCCAGTAACGAGGTTGCCCGTCTTACCAAAACTTGGCAACATGTCGCTCCCCGGGATTTGGAGACACTGCAAGATCTCGAGAAGTTGGTAACTCCCATGCGCAATTTCTACAGCCTCCGTGCTGAAATGGAGACCGGCTCAGATCAGGGCTGCATTCCCTTCGTTGGCATCTACACCCACGACCTTCTTTACAACGCGCAACGTCCATCTGAAATGGCTGGTTCGCCTACCACACCTCCTTTGGTCAACTTTGAGCGATGCCGCATCGCCGCTTCTGTGGTCAAGACATTGCTTAGATTGTTGGAAGCCAGTACTCGATACAGGTTCCAACCTATCGAGGGCATCACAGAGCGCTGTCTCTGGATGAGTGCTTTGAGTGATGAAGAAATTCGACGTCACTCGGAGATGCTTGAATAAACCTCTTCAAGCATGCCGCTCACCATATTCACAACACACCACACATACGGGAACGATAATTACGATTTATGACTCACCGACTCGACGGCGTTTCATCTTCTATGTTTCACCACCATCACAAGAGCATACCCAGCATGCCTCTGCATTATACCCATCTCCTACCTCGTATAAACATCACCTGGCTACGTAGCCATTTCGTTCTCCAATTCTACATACAACATAATCTTCATCATCAAAGCATCTGGGACTAAAGCATGGAGTTGGGAACCTTTTTTTTCGTCTATTTTCACACGAAACTCATATATGGGGTTTTCTAGGCCCGCACAGCGCGAGCGTCAAACTGCGTCTGTTCCTTTTTCTTGGTTTCTTAATTCATAGAGCGGGACGGGGATCGATGGGACTGAGTACTGGGAGATCGGTGAATTGGATTGACTTGACATAAGTGTTAGCCATGGGTGGGAATAACATCATGGAGTTCATAAACTGGAGGATTGGTAAATGAGCAGATGTAGTCAAGGATTTAAGCAATTGATACCACGTGTACGATGATAGAAACCTGTCGCTCCTTTGGTTTAGTGCTATATGTTTGTCGGTGTAGGATCGCTACACTCTTCCTCGATGGTATACAGAGATAACTTGGACATATATAGGTAGGTATCCATGAGAATTATACCCTGTGCTTCCCTGATTACGGCTGAACTACGCTACGCAATGGTGTTCTACAACGGACAACGGACATCACTTTCAACGACACACTTGAGATGGGTAAACCCAGCTTAGACGACTAATATTTGACTTCTTCTCGCATCAATACAAATTCCACAGCAACCAAGGCGGGATAACGATCAAGTCCATCCCCTCAGCAGCGCAGGGCTTTCCCTCTCCATCCTTCTCAATGAGAAAAGGAGGCGAGTATCTTTCCCTCATTAGCACCGCCAAGTTTTGAAAACAAAAACCTTCAGTCCCGTGCAAGTTCGTAGTAAAAAAGGTCAGCAAGTTATTGTGTTTTGTCGTAGAAGGATGAGGGGGATAGGAGAAACAGCAAATGTCTGTCGAATAGTTTGATTGAACCACATCCACACATCCGTCAATGCCTTTTCTGTTCTCCCATTCCAGGACCTTGTGTCAAATTCACTTTCTTTGAATTTTGTGGTATCCTCTTTTTTGTTTTGTTTACCAATCAACCTCAAAGGCCTCAAGACCCTGAGCGCCGGTACCCTCCTGGACCTCAGGACTCTACCACTGAGACTCCTTGGGGGCCTCAGCGGAGGCAGCCCACTCGGTGTTAGCGGGAGCAGCACCCCACTCCTCACCAGCAGCACCGTCCCAGCCGGGGGCGGCAGCAGTGCCAGAGGCACCGGCGAAGCCAGCGGCGGGAGTCTCCCAGTCAGCACCAGCGGAGTTCTGGAAGCCGGACTCGATAGCGGCAGGGCCCTCCTCGTCAGCGCCGGGGAGCTTCTCCTCCTCGACCTTGTCCTCAGCCTCAGCCTCGGGGTCACGGTCTGTAGACAGTCAGTGTGTGTTCGTATGTTAGCATTGGAGGGTGACGTACAGAAGTAAAGATCGACCATGACGTCCCAGGGGGTCTCGCGGTTGTAGATGGTACCACGGAGGCGGAGAACCTCACGGGCGAGCATCCACCAGACGGCACCGATAGCGTGGCGACCCTTGTTGTTGGTGGGGATAGCGACATCGACGTACTCGGTGGGAGAGTCAGTGTCGGCGAGGGCAATAACGGGAATGTTGACGTAAGAAGCCTCCTTGATGGCCTGGGCGTCGGTTCGGGGGTCGGTGACGATGATCAGACGGGGCTCCTTGAAAGATCGGGTGATGTAGTTGGTGAAAGAACCGGGGGTGAAGCGACCAGCGATGGCGGTAGCACCAGTGTGGGCGGCGAACTTGAGGACGGCACGCTGACCGTAGGGACGGGCAGAGATGACACAGATGTCGGCGGGGTTGTCAATGGCAGCGATGACACGGGCGGCCAGGACAATCTTCTCCCTGTGGGCAGGTTGTTAGCGGGTGTGTGCTGGTGTATGGTGTTTCGGTTCAAGTTGTGCCCCTCCTCCGAATAGCTTCCTTCTCCCGAATTTCAAGGTACGCCTCGATGTTCCCCTCCAGACACAAATTGAAGCCCGAATATTCCATAAAAATATCAGTTCACACATACCAGGTCTTGCCGACGTTGATGACGTTGACACCATCAGCACGGGTCTTCCAGAGGTAGTTCTCCATGTGAACCTGAAGGTTCTTGCTACCGAGGTGGCACTGAGCAGCCAGCAGGGTCTCGATGTCCTGGCTGGTGGCGTTCATGACGGAGGGCAGGTTGGAGGGAGCCATTTTGACTGATATGTTCTCTTGTCTGAATTGACGAAGGGATGGCTTGGGAGAAGGTGACGGCGGAGGATTATGGTGTTGCGTACAAAGAGTCGCAAAACGGAAAGTTCGCGACGGAATTTTTGACTCCAAAATGTGTGTGGTAGTGAAGCCCTGATGCCGTGCTAGGCTAGTCTGCTTACGGATTGGCGTGCCGATAAGACTCTTCGAACTGTATCTGCACGTGATCTTGAAGCTAGACCATGTTGGGGCTTCGCTCGTTCCTGGTACGGGTGTCGGCGACCGGGTTATGGAAAATTTGGGGCGGCATTGGACGACAATCCATCGGTCTCTGGTGTAGAAGCAGAAACAGATTGATGCTTGAACCATGCCTCCGAGAATAACGACACTCCCGAGTCTAGGCTCATTGAATCGTATGTACATGCTGTAACTCTATTATCTACTACTGCTAATCAATTGCCCAGTCTGCCTCCGGCCTGCAGTGAAGCCTGCAACCGCCAACTTTCTCCCCATCGTTCAGACAGCGAACCTCTCCCAGCGTGAGAAGAAGCGCAAGGCAAAGCAGGATCCGTATAGATGGGCTCAAGCACAGCAAAGAAAGGCCGCCAATGTGCAACGGCGTGAAGAGCTCTCTCGCGAGCGAGAGGAGGCATGGGGAGATGCTATCCTTGGCAAGAAGACTGCTTTCATAGAGTCTCTTCAAACGGCTGGCCAGCAGGAGGCTACAGCTCAGAGTCCGGAGACGAATCCCGGACTACGAAACCATTTCCTTTCAGACCGCGAAGTCGATGCCGCCACCGAGCATGCCTTTAAGCTCACCAAGCCCACGATCGGCGCCGTCGAGTCGCAGATGGAACCCGAAACCAAGGAGGACAAGATGAAACAACACGAGGAGAACCATCAGAAGGCTGTCGAAGCCTTGAGGCGAATCACATCGTTGGAGAATGGTAGTTCGAAGGATCGCTTCCACGCCAACGTTCAGCGTATTATTGAGGAGTTCGGCCGTCACAAGACTGACACGATTTTCAAACCCCAAACCAGGAAGTTTGTCCCTCAGGCCGATAGGAAAGTGCCACGAGCTGGCCCTGATACAGGCAGCTCCGAAGTTCAAATTGGTATCTTGACAGCGAAGATTCACAACCTATCTCAGGCTCTCCAGATCAACCGAGGCTATAAGGATAAGCACAACAAGCGCAACCTTAGATTACTGTTGCATCGCCGACAGAAGCTCATGAAGTATATGGATCGCAAGGAGAGGGGAAATCAGCGATGGACTCACATGGTTGAGACGCTGGGCCTTACACCTGCGACCTGGAAGGGTCAGATCTCGCTCTAAGAAAAGGCGGGAGCTGTTTTTTTGTAGAATAACTTGTTTCTCTATGTACAATACAAGCCACCTGAAAGATGAGCGACAATGCCGCCTTTTGCATCTACCTTTCTGTTCCTTTGCGCCAGTGTGGAAATTATTCCGTGCCATTACGAGCTCACGTTTGCTACTATACTACACAAAACCCTGCTGAAAACGAAAACTGGGGATACTGATAACTCAAATCAAAAGACGCTGATGTAGTTGCCGATGCGCTCCTTCTGGTTCTGGGCTATGCATTCGGCAATCCAAGTGATGTTGCGGATTTCCTGTTGATTAATTAGTTTGAAGTCGAATCTAAGAGCAGATGGATGATTTACCTGCTCTCGCAACTTCACCCATGCGTAGACAATTGAGTGAGTGAATTGCCTAGTGAAAGCGTTCTTCGAAATCTCCATTTCCTTTTGGTAAAACATATCTTCCAAGGTCTTGGTCTCACCCGCGCCACCACCCATGTTTCCAGGTCCTGATGGGCCACCACCAACGTTGATGGCATCAAAGAAAGACTTGTAGTCATGAACACCGTCAACCGCCAAGCGAACGCCCTCAGGGTCATCAGCTCGGGAAAGCATGAGGGTTCCCTCGGGGTACAGCTTTCCGAAGTTAGGGTAGAGCTTGTTACGATCCTGTTTGGAAAGATCTGTGCCGAAAGAGTTGAGTGTGATGTTGATGGCTCGGCGGTCAGCCTCAAACTCAAGAATCTCAGACATGACCTCGGCCGTGGGTGTGCCAGCCATTTCAGGGTGAGTGTTGACGAAGTTATAAAAATCCTCAAGGTAGTTCTTGTAGAGCGTGTTTCGGACAATCTCAATGTTCAATTCATCCAAGTCCTGGTGGCTCAGGCTGCCCTTGAAGTATGGGGCGAGAGGGGTTTCAATAAGCACACTGTTGTAGAGCTCCTCGATGTTGGTAGCAACGCAAAGCACAGGCATGGTCTCGAACCAGCCCAGAGGGTGGCATCGCTCAAGAAGCTCACGGGTATCGCGCTCGTGGAGGGTGCCTGTAATGAGAAGGGCGACATTGTCAATCATGTAGCCATAAGTGACGTAGTCCATAAAGGTAGCAAGAGAGCCGACAGCCTGGGCGCGGACATATCGAAATTCTGAGATGAGCTTGTCGGTTGTCTTAGCCGCGAGAGCTGAGGTCGAGGGGTTAGGCGGTAGAGAAGCAAGGAAGTCGCCATAGGAAGGACCAAGCTGGAGCTTGAGATCTAGACACTATCAGCATCTCAAGTATTAACGACAAGCCAGATCACCTACCATCGATAGTCTCGCATTGGGTCAGGTTGTTGTAGGCTGGGCCTGTGAGAAGACTGTTGCGGTAGCCGCGGACGATGCCTTCGACGTAGCTGTTCACTGGGGTTAGTCTCCATAACTAACTCGCATGAAGCTTCCATCTCTAATCTCCAAGCCTAGACGCACCCGCTGTTGACGTTGTAAAGAAGACCCTCCATCTTGTATCACAGATTTCGCGTCACGATCGGGCCTGATGTATCGTATTTGAGAGATCAAGAAATGAATAGATGTCTTTGGTGGCCGAGTCGATGGATTAGGTCTATCGTCAAAGTTGGTCGGTCTCCTAGCTTTCCCAAGCCTGCAACGCAAGCTGGACGTCGCGAGCGTCAGGCCCACACGTGAGTGGCCAGGAGGCGGGTGTGGCTGGTACGTACCCGACCCGCGTAAGCAGTCGGACTTTCCTTCTGCCGGCAGCCGAAGAACCTGCATCACACTTTCTGCGCCAGTACCAAAGACCAAAAAAATTGAGTGGAGCCTTCCCAAGCTTGTTCTGAAATTTTTCCATCGCAAGTCCACCCTCGATCTTTCCTTTCGCAGCCGCGCTCAACAAACCGGACTGTGCCTCGCGAGGAAGCCACGATACCCATCGATTAGAGCGAGACCCCAAGATACTAATAAACAATGTCGCTCTTCGTTCTCGCCGAAACGCCGGCAGGGTAAGTCGCGACCTCGACCTCGGCCTCGATGCATCACCACGAGGAAGTTGCATGTCGAAAGTCATTAACTAACAATTGACAGCTATGGCCTGTTCAAGGCCGCTGATAAGAAGATGCTCAAGAACGAGGAACTCGCTGCTGAGCTTGGCCGACCCGAGAAGGTCGTCGAAATGTAAGTTTCGAATATTTTTTTCATCTGCGAAAACTTTCGCCATTGAGCATCGACAATGTTTTTTTCCAAGACATTGAGCGGTCGCAAGTATGGCACGTTGCGAGAACCATATTGACTGACATGCTCTCCTATCGCAGGCTCAAGCTGAAGAAGTTTGTCAAGTTCGACAGTGCCGCTACCGCCCTCGAAGAGGCTGCCTCGCTCAAGGAGGGCAAGGTCCCCGAGCTTCTCACCCAACTCCTCGACGACCTCAAGTCCGAGAAGAAGGCTTCGCTCGCCGTTGCCGATATGAAGCTGGGCACAGCTATTTCCAACTTGCCCTCGCTTAACATCTCCCCTGTCTCTGGTTCCAACACTATGGATCTCTTCCGAGGCATTCGAGGCCAATTGGCCAACCTCATCCCCGGCTTGGTCGAAGAGAACTTTGACCGCATGGCTCTGGGTCTCTCTCACTCCATGTCGCGTCACAAGCTCAAGTTCTCTGCCGACAAGGTCGACTCCATGATCATTCAGGCCATTAAGCTTCTCGACGATCTTGACAAGGAGCTTAACGTTTACGCTATGCGAACCAAGGAGTGGTACGGATGGCATTTCCCTGAGATGGCCAAGATTCTCAATGACAACTTGGCCTACGCTCGTGTCATCCTAGCTGTTGGCATGCGCACCAGCATCGCTGACTCCGACCTCTCTGAGATCCTCCCTGAAGAGATTGAGGTTTCTATCAAGGCTGCTGCCGAGATCAGCATGGGTACTGAGATCACTGAGGAGGATCTTGAGAACATCAAGCTCCTGGCCGACCAGGTCATCGTTTACCAAAACTACAGGGCTCAGCTCTCTAGCTACTTGGAAAGCCGCATGCGCGCCATCGCTCCTAACCTGACTGCTCTGGTTGGCTACCTCGTTGGTGCCCGCCTTATCGCCCACGCTGGATCCCTTATCAGTTTGGCTAAGTCTCCTGGTTCCACCATCCAGATTCTCGGTGCTGAGAAGGCTCTTTTCCGTGCTCTGAAGACCAAGCACGATACACCCAAGTACGGTCTCATCTACCACTCTTCGCTCATTGGACAGGCCACTGGCCGAAACAAGGGTAAGATCGCCCGTATGCTGTCTGCCAAGGCTGCTCTTGGTCTCCGTGTCGACGCTCTTGGCGAGGCTGAAGATGATGAGGACGAGGAGGAGCGTGCCATTCTCGGTCTCAGCAACCGTATCAAGCTCGAGAACCACCTCCGCAAGCTCGAGGGTAAGCCTCTTCTCCCCAAGGGTGCCAATGTTACTCCTTCTGGCGAGATCGTTGGTGCTGGTCAGTTCACTGTCAAGGAGACCCGCCGATACAACGGCGATGCCGATGGTGTTGCCGACGACGACGAGGAGGCCAACGGCACCACTCCCGCCAAGAAGATCAAGAAGGCCAAGAAGCTTATTGAGGAGGTCGACGAGGAGATGAAGGACGCCGATGACGACGAGAGCGACGATGCCGCCACTCCCGCCAAGCCAAAGAAGCTTTCTGAGGCTGACTACGAGCGTCTTGCCGAGGAGGCCGGTATTTCCGTCAAGAAGTTCAAGCGCAAGTACGAGCGAGGCGATGTCGAGCTGAACGATGATGGCACACCCAAGGTTGTCAGCAAGAAGGAGCTCAAGAAGCTGCGCAAGGCCGCTGAAGCCGCCGAGAAGGGCACACCTTCCAAGTCCCAACCCGCCGAGGAGACCGACGGCAAGAAGAAGCGCAAGCACAACGACTCAGAAGATGAGGCTGAGCCCAAGAAGGAGAAGAAGCAGAAGAAGAAGAAGCGTCACTCTGAGGCTTAGATGGCCCCGAGTACCTTGTCACGGCGTAAGTCGTGGCGACGCTGAATCGGACACAATTGTAGGACAATGAGAATTATAATTCTCATCCTACCTGCTTTACTCGTACTTGTCTAAACACAGAGGACGGACATCACAATAAAAGATAAACGATTGGATGGTATTCCGTCCGATGTGTAGATATATGATACCTGAGAGACTCCTGGCATGGCAGCTTCTGCCCGCACCTTGTTTCCTGGCTGGCTGGCGTTTGGATGGAGGGCATATTGGCGTTGAGTTTTACTCATTTTTCGAATTTTCTACTTGACTCTCTGTTCCCACCCTTCCTTGGGGCGGTACGCGCTGATTTTAGAAGGATGATTGAGTACTAACCGATGTAACTTAAGAAATGGTGAACAGAGGGGATTTAGAAGAAAGAATTTGTCAAATTTAAAAAGTTAATCCTGAATTGGCCTCGGCTCAGTCAAAAAGATCGTGTGACTGGTACTGCGTAATAGAAGAATTGTCATCTAAAGCTTACAGCATCAAAATAAAATCTACTAAATGATTATCTAAACTGGCATAACTTGTCAAAATTATTTCGTCTCTTATGTTCTTGGTGGCCAATTCTTGACACCCCAACAGGTGCTACGCTTTAGGTAAGTTCTAGCCGAGCAGGGGCTTGGATCGCGTGGCACTCGGAGATTACAGAGACAATAAGATTCGAAGCAAAAAGATATATTCATAGCGGTTGGGTATTGTAACTATCCATCAAATTCAAAATTCCAGTTCTCATTAAGCGGTCGTGAGAGTAAAGCAAGGGTATTCTTCACAAGCACCAAGTCATCACCCCGTTTCCCATCGTTCTGTCTCCAATAAGAAGAAGAAAAGTAGAATACATACAATGAATACGACAGAAAAGAAGAAGCAGCAGCAGTTGCTGAGACGGGTATCAGAGAGCAGCGTTGGAGAAAAAGCAAGAAGGTGTCAGGCCAATCAGGTGGATTGGAAGATCGGAGTCGGGTGAAGCGCTGTTGAAGACGGGAGGAAAGCAGTCGAAGCAGTGCTTCCGAAATCAAGTAGACCAGGCTAAATCCCGTAACGGGAAACCCTCAAACGTTAGCCGACCTTCACCTCAGAGTTGAAAGGCACGGAGGAAAAGCATCTGGGATTAGATGTTCTCCACAACGCGGGCGTTCATGGCCTGTTGGAAACCTGGGTCCTGACCTCCAAAGTCTTGCTCTTCGCCAAAGGCGCGGCCGCTAGACTCGCCGGTCTCGTTAGCCATGGCGGCGTTAAGGGCATTACCCATAGTCTGATTGGCACCAGGCAAGAAGATAACCTTGCTGTTGGCCGACTTAGCCATGGCTTGCATGGCCTCGAGGTATCGGATCTGCATGGCAGGAGCTGAGCTCAAGATGTCGGCGGCCTGACGCATAAGCTTGGCGGATTCAACCTGAGAGTGCGTTAGCAGTGTTTAATAAGATAGATTTAATGTTGAGGGTTACCTCAGCCTTGGCGGCAATGATCTTGCTTTCACCAATACGCTTGCTTTGTGCGGCCATGGAGAGCGACTCCTGCAGCTCCTGACTGAAGACAATGTCCTTGATGAGCATACTCTCAACTTGGACACCCCAGCCAGCAGCGACATCTTCGATGATCTCTCCAATCGACTGAGCAATTTCCTCACGTCGCTCGATCACATCCTGAAGAACGCGAGCACCGACAACGTGGCGGAGAGTAGTCTGAGTACGCTCCATAAGAGCTTGCTTAACGTTGTTGATACCGAAAGCAGCCTTGTGAGGAGAGACGATATGGTAGTAGATGACGGAGGTCAAGCGAAGAGTAACGTTGTCTTTGGTCATGCAAATTTGCTCTGGGACTTCGGTTGTCTGAATCTTGACATCGATTTGAAGGAGTTTCTCGCTGAGAGGGTTGATCTTGACCAGACCGGGGTCGACAGCCTTGTAGAACTTTCCGAACTTGGTGACAAGACCAACATTACCCTGATGGACTTCCTTGTAAGGGTTGGGGCAAACAATGCAGCAGGGAATAGCACCCATTGTTCCGACAACGGCTCCGAGAACGTTCACTGCTCTTGTCAGTTGCTAACTCCATGATAAAAGTCCTTGCAGCACTTACTCATGCTTCCATACCAGTCGTTGGTACCAGCCTCATGCTCAACAACAGTCGCATACTTGCGCTGAAGGTCTTCCTTCTTGGGAGGTTCGACAGACATTTTGTGCTGGGAGACGAAACCTCCGTTGCCCTCAGTAGGCGCAGGCGCAGGCGCCTTTGGGTTGGCGGATGAGCTTCCGCCATTGATCATGCCCTCGGTGGACGACATTGTGAGTTGTATTGTGTTTGGAGAAAGTTGTTGATCAAATGGAGTTGCGTGATACTGAGGAAGATCAATATTTTGATGATATGGTATGGTATGAGTAGGTATTAGAGACAAGTGTTTCGAAATTTGGGGTGGGGGAGGGTGATATTTAATCTTATCAGGCCAGTCAGTCTAAGCCGGTCAACCTTCCTTCAGCTCATCCTTCGTTTGAATCGAATTGGATACCTAAGGTAACTTACAAACGCCAAGAGCATGAGGTGACGTCTACCTTATTGGCAGTAACACCCGGCACAACCCAAGCTTCCTTCCCTTGTTGCTCGGCACAGCAAAGCGCAGCACAGGTGACACCGGCAAAATGGGGAAAGAGTGATCTGCTACCCCATATTGTGGAGCTCTTATGGCATGCCAACCCCTGACACTATTCTTTGATTGGTTTTATAGTCAGGGACTTGCGGGGCACAAGGCTTGGGTCATGCCGCTAGGCGTCTGCACGAGAAAGTGGTTTGTTATTACAGTATGTAACTTGCAGTCCACGGAAATACGATGAACACGACACGAATTATCAGATCAGCGACTTGTCTGCTGCATACAATGTAGACTACTGTACTGTACTCTACTCCCAAACTCTCGATCTTAGTCAAAACCATCGGCTACTACCTCGCTTTCGATCCGAAACACCGAGTGCCTCTTGTGGAAATAACACGGCCTAGCTCGAGTCCATGATATGGCCAAGACTTTTGGTCGCTCGAATTGCAGCGAAACTAGTAACGATATGCGTTGGCCAAGCAGTGCTTGTAATATTGCATTGCAGCTTTCTGGCGACATTGTTGGTGCTGTATGATAGCTCTAGTTATTCTGCCTTGCGAGCGCTTCTTAATTTCCCTCGTCTTACTGTTGGCGCCGGAGATAACTTCAAGGAGATGGTGCATTGAGTCAGGCCCTAGAGGCAAATATGTACGTACAGTACTTGTATCTCAATCAGCCTCTTTGGCGGCAACGGCGTTGAAGGGGTCGCGATACTTTGGCTAGTAGCTGTCCTTCCGCCCGACTGCAGTCGGTTTCCATGACCCTTGGATTGTTGCTCACGGCGACTCGGCAGAGCTACTGCATGACTATGGCCAATCAGGACACGAGCGCATTACACAACCCCGAGCTTCAGGGTCGTGAGCGCGATGGCAGACGTGTTATGTCATTGGTTTAAAGAACCTGTGACCTACTGAGCTGCACCGCCTCTGCCAATTCACAAATGTCCACTTGTCATTGTTGGTCATTGTATTCTGGTCTGCCGAGCTCGAACATGACATGGCACGATCGTAAGCCATGCATATGCTCTATCTGGAAACGACCGGGACCTGCTTGCCGACTGCTGCTGCTGGTTGGGATGGCTAGATGGACTAATGGACAAGCAGGTGGGTCACAAAAAAACGAGACCCTTTCCCATACTAAAGTCAGTGTTGAAGGTGTCTTGCCGTCTCGGTTTTTATGTTACCCATCTGACAAGTTCTAGAATGCTTCTCAGCCCTAGCATCGTGTTGTGGATTGAATATTGCATCAGAAGGGTCGCTTGTCCAACAATGCCTCAGTCCACCTTGCCACTAGGGACACATATTCAGCCAGTCATTGGTTGATGAGGTACAGAGGCAACTGAGCCTCAGAAAGGAAGCTTTCTACTCCACAAGGCAGATCACAGACCGCTTATCTCAAGCATCAGGTCACCAACAAGATCATACTGTATTTTACAACTCAGCCTCTGCATAGCCCAGGTGTTTAATTGCTCAGAACGGCACCCCGGAGCCGAGATCTTCGGCCCCGTGACATACCCCTGGGCGAGCGATCGCCATGGTACTGCAGCAATGACGAAATAGTCATTGGGGTTCTCTACCAAACAGCTCTTATGTACGGATTTTACAGGCCCACTCGTAACTTTCCAGAAGACTACCAATTCCGTTATCAAAGATCATCACAGTCTTCATCCTTCAATGAACATAGCCACTTAGAAGGATTTTAGAACGTCTCCACTGGCAAGGTCTCATATCAGATCTTAGGATTGTGAAAGTCACAGATGAAATGGAAAAGACAGGGCTAAGCTTTCACAGCCCATGTCATGTTTTTAGGGTTGCATGGCGAAGCGATATCGGCTCTAACCTGCCTGACCTGGAGATACAGGGTATGCTAGATCGAACTGGTGTGAAGTATCATCAACGACTATTAGGCATTTGCAACACTTTACTACATGGCATGATACCATTGTCTGTTGGCCATGATCTTTTTATGTCTTGAATATATCAGATCAGTTTTCGGAATTGTATGGGGGTTGTTTCTGTTAAATAACGCCAGACTGAGGTCAACTAGACACAACAAAATGTTAACCCGCAAGATTTATCGCCTACATTTACTAGGTAGCACAAACACAAGAACTGAAGTTAAATATACCAGAAACGCATCCAATCAGATGTTAACTCCAATACCAACAAGCGAGAGTTTCATTTTGTTTCCAATGCACGCAAAAACAACTTTGAAGGGTACAGGAGCATTATTAGAGACTCGATCTTCAACAGCAACTAAAGCATCCCCTGTGGCTTAGTTGGCTAAAGCGTCCGACTGTTATTAAATAGACAATCGGGAGATCGGAAGTTCGAGCCTTCCCGGGGGAGTTTCTTTTGCCAATCCCGCCTTCTTTTTACTGGTTCCAGTCTCTTACTCTAGAATCCTATACACATTCTTTTGGTGTTCCGGTAAAAGCTTTGCTTAGTTGGTAGTTCCAAGACAGCTGTTGCGGTTGTGCATTAGAGCGATGGGTGATAAAGGACTTCTTTTTCCTCTTGACAACACTGCTTTGTTTTATGTTACTTGGGCTACCATGGCAGGCTGTACCTCAGCCGAATGAATCGTCTAGTCGAAGGCACAATGGTGAAGTTTAATTGCAACAGGTCCTTCTAGATTGATTAATTTAACGCCTGGAACAAAACATTCAGCCTGTAGTTGTTGAAAACAGCTACTTCCGTCTCCTTCTGAGCTTCGTCTTACCTTCTATCAACAACACATTCAATTGACACATAAACGGCCATCATGTCTACGCGAGCTTTGTTTCGTAAATGCGCCGTCAAAAACCACGCGCAACAACATATACCTCAACCTGAAAGCGACCATCATCAAATCAGCTTATCCCCTGTGGCTTAGTTGGCTAAAGCGTCCGACTGTTACTTGCAGACAATCGGGAGATCGGAAGTTCGAGCCTTCCCGGGGGAGAGATCTCTCCAAGCTGTCTTTTTGATGTTGTGGATATTTTTGATGCTGGAGCAGGCTTGAACCGCGCCCCACTAGGGTTCACTGGACTGGGATGATGGAACAGGTTGAGTGTCATCAGGTTCAGGTCGGTGTCAATGGGCGAGGAAAGACACGGCTTGCGATGTGTAGAATTCGGGGGCTTGACATGTAAACAGTTTGCGATCTGAACAGTTCCGGCTGAGCAGCAATGCAGGAAGTGTCACCGCCTGGTACCATGTTCAGTAGATAAGATAGGTCTCCAAAGAGTAGACAAAGTGCATCTTGAGATGGTCATTAAATAATTCTCGTATTGTGACACCTATGACCTGGTATACGTGTCTTGAGCATGTTGACAATACTCTGTCAAGAGCAATCAACTCAATTGGCCTTTGGAGGTGTCCTTCTCCTAACCCATAACCTGACTGACCTCCACGGCTGTGCTGAAGCCACACCTTTGACAATTGATGGCGAAGGCCACCTCTCACTTCCTGCCGGCTCGAGGTTGTAGAGTGAGATGAAGACTGAGATGTACATAAGGACCTTCCGTAGAGTGAACGCCGAGTCGTCACACATAGTTAGTGTTCCATCTAAAAGAGTCAGTCAGTAGTCCAATTATATGTCGAAAGAATGTGCATACCTGATGCCTTGATCGTGTAGGGGTTGATCTTCTGTGTATTGACTCCCTTATCCACAGTGTCCTCAAGATATCGTCCAACTTGCCAGATCTTGGCGTCGGTAAAGCTTCTGGGATCAGAGTGATGAAGATCATTAATGACATGCGCAAAAGTTCCCTTCTTCAGGACGAAGCTGTCTTCCTTATCCTTGAGCGTAACGTCTTCCTTTACATATCTCGCCGACCATCCTCCACCGTAGAGCCTTAGTGTCTCGAGGTACACGCCTTCCAATAGAGGACACTTTGTTAGTAGGCCTTCCAGGTCAAGCTTCTTGATTTGAGGAGGGATCCAGACTGCGCCCCCGAAATCGTTCTTGGGCTGGACAACTTCGACATATGGCGTGATTTGTTCACGAATCTGTGATAGAAGAACGGGGTCTTGATATAGTTCGAACAGAGACCATGAAATGAGCGATGTAGTATTGACAGTCGTGCTCCAGAGAAGGGCAACATCGAATGCAGCGCGTACATCAGAAGATAGACCATGCTTTCGATAGACCTCAGTTCTAGCACGGACAAGGGGGCTGATAGTGTGAAAGTCCTGCCATTTCGTAGCAGGTTCTTCGTCGCTGAGAAACTTGTCCAACTCGCCATGGAACTCCCGCATAAAGGTAAGCAATCTACCTAAAGCAAATCTAGCTCGCTGAGAGCCGGGGAAAGGAGCCCAAACAGGTACACCCATGGCCAAGGAGTGGAATGCGTCATTGAAGATCCAGAGGTGAGGCCAGATGTCGGGATAAATCTCAACAAAGTCTGTGCCAAAGACAGAGATTGTAGCAGTTCTGGCAACAAAGGTCTTCATGAGCTCGAAAAAGTCGATGGCCATCACCTTTTCGTCACCCATATTCTCTAGAAGCTCTGCATTGGCCATTCTCTCCCAATCCATTTGATCGGTAGCATAGCTATTGAATGTGACCACATCGGCGGCATTGTCGTCGAGATCCCGGAGAGTAGCCTTGGCTAGGTCATCCAAATGGGAATCGCTTAGATACTTCTTGGTCACCTCATGAACCTCAGCAGCAGCTTTGTCATAATCTGCAAGATCCTTCTTCGAAAGACCAAAGTTGGTCATCATGATACGTCTCGCAACAAACTCCTTGTCGGTAACAGATTCCGGCTGCTCAAGTAGACGAGCAGCCAGCGAAGGCCGGAAAACAAAAGAGTGAATACTCTGGAACAGTCGGATTGAGAAGACACCCTGAGTGTATCGATCTCTGAAGCGCGTCAAGGCAGAAGAGGGACTGAGGAAGATACGCGGAGCGTGACCGAACAGAGGAACCCAGAAAGGTGCGAGAGGAGGCGTCTTTGCTCCATCTTTTCTAGCTGACGAAGAGCTTCCTGTGAATAGTCTCGTTGTGATGAAGAGGACTATTGTTGTGACGAGGATAGCCTGTAGGGGATAGCGCTGGGCGTGGGGGATGAGAGTCTCATTGAGATGTGCCCGGAAAGCCTCTAGGCTGTCCATGTTGGGCGAAGAAGACGAAACTTTTGTCAGTAATTGTAGATCTTCCTTATGTTGGAAAATGCAGGCTTTGAAGAGACACAATGAAGTTGAGGTAATCTGTCAATTTTATTGCTGAAGATCAAGTGCAAAGCTCGAGCTTGTATGGACCAGACCCGCCCATGCTGACTGGCGTTGCGTTTCTCTACTCAGCCGTGAGTTGTAGGGCTGTGCACTGTAGCCAGGGCGTCACAGTGGTTGGTGTAACTCTGAATAGCCCGATGGACGGGACCATTGGTCTCACCCACCAGTAGTTTCCTCTTGGGAAGTGAACAGGAATATGTACCAGTTCTATTATGAGAGATAGCCATAATTATCCTGTGTTTATATCTCGTGAAAGGATAATATTTGGTGAAACAATATGCCTGTGAACAGTAATTATAGACTACATTTGAGTAACCTGAACTGCCATCGCTATGTAGAAATAGTAAAAATCTGAGCGACGGGATAAGAAGCGGAAACCCCGAGTGTTTCCCACATATACACACACATGGCTCAAACGGGATCAAGTTGGCATACCTACTAATGATAGTTTCATCAAGGTTGTGCGATGGACCATTCACTGCCTACCAACATGCGGGTAGCCAGGGTCTAAGTTGACGTTCAACGTGATTAACGTGCACGAAACTCAACTCAACTTAATAATTTGATTTCGAGCTTATTGAACCTCAATTATACAAAACGAATATGGGAAAATAGTGCAAGTCAAATCCTTATATATATATGCCATCAAGTCTTGACTCCGACCTCGGCTGCCTCAGGCCTCAATTGGTTGCATCATTCCGCTCCTACCTTATGTGACCTTCATCATCACTGCTTATAGCCCTCTGGGTTGGACCAGACACCTTTTTGGACAACTAGATTAATCTACCGGACTGCAGCTAAACATCCCCATATCGAAGGGTCGGTCCCTGGCAGCTCCGGTACCTTGTTGTCTTCTCTACCTATCTGTCTCGCGCTATCGGCATTGACAAAAGTCTGGGCAGCTCCCCGCCATCCCACCAACCCAGACATCCCATGATGAGCTCGCGTTGAGCCGAAACGCCAACATGATCCCTCAATTGCTGCAGCGCTCATCGAGGGCATGTCCTCGGTACAATCCGGCGCTCTTCCGACTGTCTGCAGCGTCTCAGAGACCGGGTCTTACACAGACCTTCTGGACCTCAGCCCCGCGTCGCGAACAATCTCGAACACCCACGGACTCGAAATCCAAGACCGCGACACCATCAGCCGTGTTTCCCGCTAAGAAGCAACCGACGAAACAAAATGATCCTCTTGCGACGACCGAGAAGTCTGCGACAGAGCAGCGCAAGGCCGATTGGGCTATCATGAAGGAGATGACTCGGTATTTGTGGCCCAAGGATGATTGGGGTACTAAGCTTCGAGTCGGCCTTGCTGTCTCTCTACTAGTTGGCGCAAAAGTTCTCAATGTTCAGGTTCCCTTCTATTTCAAAAGTATTGTTGACTCCATGAACATTGACATTGCTGCTGTTGGAGGTACTGCGACAACGGTTGCTGGAGCCATGATCCTAGCATATGGCGCATCTCGAATTGGCGCAACAGTCTTTCAAGAATTGAGAAACGCTGTCTTTGCTTCTGTCGCTCAAAACGCCATTCGAAGAGTTGCCTGCAATGTCTTTGATCACCTGTTACGTCTCGACCTCACTTTCCATCTCTCCAAGCAAACCGGTGGTTTAACCAGAGCTCTGGACCGCGGTACAAAGGGAATTAGTTTCATTCTATCTAGCATGGTATTTCACATTATGCCAACTGCGCTTGAAATCAGCATGGTTTGTGGAATTCTGACTTACAACTACGGCGCCAAATTTGCAGCTCTCACTGTTTTGACAATGGTTAGCTACACGGCATTTACTATCTGGACTACTGCCTGGCGAACAAAGTTCCGAAGACAAGCGAACGCAGCGGACAACAAGGCTTCTACTGTGGCTGTAGACTCGCTCATCAACTACGAGGCTGTCAAGTACTTTAACAATGAAAAGTTTGAGGTTGCACGATACGACAAGGCTCTGCAGCAGTATGAGAAGAACTCTATCAAGGTTGCGACATCTCTGGCTTTCTTGAACAGTGGACAAAACATCATCTTTTCATCGGCACTTACAGGAATGATGTACCTTGCCGCCAACGGCGTGGCTGAGGGCACTCTGACTGTTGGTGACTTGGTCATGGTCAACCAGCTTGTTTTCCAGCTTTCAGTTCCTCTCAACTTCCTTGGATCCGTCTACCGTGAACTCCGACAGTCTCTGCTAGATATGGAGACTCTGTTCAACCTTCAGAAGGTCAATGCCAACATCAGGGAGAAGACCGGTGCTCCACCTTTGGCTCTTTCCAAGGGTGGTGAAATCAAGTTTGAGAATGTCAACTTTGCTTACCATCCTAACCGCCCTATTCTCCGTGATTTATCCTTGACGATTCCTGCTGGTAAGAAGGTTGCTATTGTCGGCCCTAGTGGATGTGGAAAATCTACCCTGTTGCGTCTCTTGTTCCGATCTTACGATGTCCAGGCTGGTCGAGTCTTGATTGACGACCAAGATATTCGTGATGTCAACCTCGAGTCTCTTCGTCGTTCTATTGGTGTGGTTCCCCAGGATACTCCTCTTTTCAACGACACAGTCGAGCACAACATCCGATATGGTTCCATCAACGCTACCCATGAAGAGGTTGTCGCTGTTGCCAAGCGCGCCCACGTTCACAACACCATTCAATCATTCCCCGACGGTTATGATACCAAGGTCGGAGAGAGAGGACTCATGATCTCGGGTGGAGAGAAGCAGCGTCTTGCCGTTAGCCGTCTCCTGCTCAAGGACCCCCCTCTGCTCTTCTTTGACGAGGCAACCAGTGCCTTGGACACACACACCGAGCAGGCTCTCATGGTGAACATCAACAGCATTCTCCGCGAGAAGGGACGAACGAGTGTTTTCGTCGCTCATCGTCTACGTACAATCTTTGATTCTGATCTTATCATTGTCCTCAAAGAGGGACAGGTGGCAGAGATGGGCACACACCGGGAGTTGATCGATCGTGATGGCGTTTACGCTGAGTTATGGAGTGGTAAGTGATAAAGATCGACTTCGATTTCTTTTACTGACAATTTTCCAGCCCAGGAGACAATGTTCGGTGAAGATGGAAAGGAGAAGAACGAGGAAGAGAGCGAAGAGCAGAAGAAGAACTGAGCAGAGGGATTCTGACTATATCTATAGAAGGATGGCGTCTTGACTGGCCGCTAGTATGTTGGAGATTGGAGAAACTTGGAAACTTGACTATATGTTGCAGGTGTAGAATCATAGGAAAGCATACTAGTATGGCGTCAAGACGGGCTGCGCTTACCTCTTGTGGGAGATAGAGAGAAAGAGTTAATACCGAATGTTGCTCATTTGTCACATTGCAGATCGCTTCAAACTTTCCCTTTGCTCACAGCTCAATGGGCCCAGTCACTACCTAAGGGTTTGAACTCACAGTATGTCGTAGTGGAACGCTATAAATCCTGATCCAATAATCCAAGTTGAGCATTTGGCCTGATGAAGCACTCAAAGATAGGGCCATAGCTTTGGCTTCGGAGCTGTAATGGGATTTGTAACCATAATGATTCTGTACTGGGGTCCTATTGATCCCTTGTCGGCGCACCATGCTCCAAAGATGGATTTTCTACTTCATAAGAATCATCCGAAAAGCACTGCACAGAGATTCTGAGTAACCTCCCGGGCACCACAAAATTCCAGAGAATTTATTCAACGTGCTTCTCATGGGCAAGTTTGAGTCACTGATGCCATCGTACCTGATGGGGCGCTCCAGGAGACTGGTTTTGCAGAGGTGGGCATAAGAATATGTGGATGGGAGGAAGAACAGAGGGCTATTCGTGTGCTGATGTGACCTGACGCTCATGGATTGGCCTTGTATCAGGTTGGAAGGCTGCGAGATAGGACTCGCAGAGGCACTGTGTCCTCACATCCTCCTCCCTTCTTGCCGCTCTGTTGAGTGATCCTGTTGCTTCAATAGTCGAGACCTGATGTGAACTGCAAGACACCATGAGACTGTTGCTACATTTCCCTGCAATCTAGTTAGCATAATTTGCATTTTGGGACAATTGTCTAACTGTTCCACATCATCTACTCTATTCCTATATTGCTTGCATACAGTACCATTCCCCGTCCCAAGCAGATCCTGAGGTCCATGAAGGTCTTTTCCAGTGGGAAGTGGCGGTGTCAATACTCCGAGGAGACTCTTTCTGGCGATTGTAGGGGAGCATCTGCAGACTCAGAGCCAGCGCGTTGAATCTCAGGATGGTTTTGACCTGAATGGTTGGCAAGTTGCTTCGTAAAAAGTCGGGATCGAGTTGCAGCCAGGAGAGAGCTCATTTCCAGCGACTATTTGCCTGACGAGTAGTGCATTGCAGGGGTCTTTTGCTCCATGTTCCCTGCGAAGAAAGATGCTTCTGTAGCGAAACATGTGGTGTTGTCGGAGGCTTCTATCTAAAGATCCAAGTTAGTATACTTTACGTATCCTCCGTTTTCTAAGCTCACCATCTTTATGGCTAAGGGAGCGGACTGTTTCTGCCCATGCCCATGCCGCCGCTGGCGTTCATTGTCAAGGTAGAAACAGCGCAGAGCAGTCGTCTCTCCTTTTCGCCTTGATCTTCCGAGAACCTGCTTGACTTGCATGAACGAAGTGCTTGCAGTATGTGGAACCCATAGGGGTCAAATTGCTAAACCTGTTGTCTCCGGGTATTTGTCGACTCCAACCGTTCCAATTGCTTTTGTCGAAAGATTGAGCCCTTTCTCTGATAACGCGTCTTTGACATAGTTTCTAGGTGACTGCTTATCTGGACGGCCTTCTTTCGAGTGCGCCTGTCGGCTCTGCTTGCCCTTTGCACTGATCCAGTGAGCTTGCGGCGCCCTCGCTGAATCCTGTGTATCGGTTAGCATGCTCTCTTCGTCGGTCCAAGACTACTTACAGCAGAGTCATTCTCACTGTGGATAACACCCTGGTCCGCTTATTGAAGGCAAGTCGAGTTCATGTCAACCATGGTTCACTGGGTTGGTCCTCTTCTGTGCCTGGTGTCCAGGCGGCCAGCGCCACCATTTCTACGGCCAATGCTAGCAACTAAGCGGCAACTAGACGCGAGCTACCCCGGGAAACAGAAATATACTGAAGACGATGGGACCATGCCTATAGCTTCATATGAACGCGGGGAAGCAAGATAGCGTCAAGGCGCATCGGAGTACAACCTTGCGGACCCTGGCCATCCCACGTCATAGCTGCTTGTCGTACGAAATTGTTCCCGAAGAAGAAGGACATGCTAGCGAGGCTCGAACTTGGCTTATCTAGCATAGACGTGATTGTACGAGATTCGAAGGCGTTGTTGTCGTCGGAGGGGAATAAGGAGATATTTCGGTGAGCTTGATGCCGAGGTGAATAATATGGGGCAGTTGAGAGAAAGAGGAAGGACAGATGAGAGTAAGAGGTTGAAGATGTCGCGGGGTATCGTTGAGTACTGTTGAGCTGAGGTTTGAGGCGGTTGCTAGGAAGATAGAAGTCGTCGTTTGGATAGTAGTCTAGCAGAAGTTGAAATGTAAAAGAGAGCGCCGTATTTTGGTTGGACTTGGTCTGCAGCCAGACCAAGTCTCTTTTGTTCAAACCATTGAAGGAGAAGAGCTTCGCAGAAACATCATGTTTCCTTTTAGAGATTGTATATTGCAGTCGAAATTTCACTGTCTTTATTTAATCCCCTTTGCCCGCTTTGTTGTTATTGTAGTGGTGGGCGAAAGGAAGGTGAAGCCGCCAAGGCGGGTCTTTTCTCGGTGTTCCGGAAATCCAGTGTTGTTCAACAACATGATCTTGTGAACAGACAGCAATGTTTCCCCTCAATTAGAGCATGAAAAGGATAACAAAAAGGAAGTAATAGAATAATTAATCATACAAGTAATGTAAAAACCAATGGCGATTCATCAAATAACTACTTATAAATGATATGGTACAGGGTAACTTCAACCTGTATAAGAAAGAACCTTATGTGTGACTTGAAGGAAACCAGGATCATCCTCCTCAAACTTGATTTAGAACGGATCTAATTGCTAGAGAAAGTCATTCCGAGCCTCCAATTGATTCATTTACTCCAAAAAGAGAGAAGATTCTGGCTAATATTTACCCCATGTTCTCCAGGCCCCACGTAGGTAGTTTTAGTATGGAGGTAATAGCGAGTCACTGCGCTGTACCGTAGGTACTGTACAAGATCCATGCCATGTAAGCACTTCACCGAAAACCCCCCAATTACAGTCTCAACATTACACAATCTCTACGTCGCCCAAATAACGATTATTTCTTTCATTATTATATGAAGCAGCGAACATGAAGATCCTCCTACATTCCCACTTCCCAGCGGGCCACACATATCCTATGCAGGCTGTGGCCCAGTCTCTCATCCGTCGGGGTCATCAGGTAGTATGGCTCGCCAGCGCCGACAACGAGGTCCGCGTTCGAGCGGTGGGAGCCACCTTCGTCCCAACAGAAGCCATCGCCATTGTCGATGAGCCCCTCATTGAGAAGAATGAGACTGGAATTCTCGACAAGATGTATGACCGTCTGGAAATTCGTCTTCTCGCCCAAGTGAGCGATTATCGTCGGGTATTGCGGGGCGGCTTCAAAGCAGATCTGCTGCTAGTCGATGTGATGCCCTATGGAGCGAGAGCTCTGTGCGAATTGGGAGAGATCCCTGCGTATGCAACTCTTGGGGTGATTCCGATGTACATGTCGGGCTGGGGAGCACCTCAGGCGGTGTCGGGAGAGAGTCCTTCGGCATCGTTGTTCTGGTTGATCTGCAATTACCTGCATCATCTCATCACTCAATGGATCATCTTGCCATACCTGCTGAGGCCTGTGATAAATGCGCAGAGACAAGTGTTGGGACTAAAGAACTTGCCGTTTGGTGAACCCATTGAGTCCTTCACTTATAGCCCCTTTCTTCACATCCAGGCCTCTTCCCCATCGTTGGAGTTCAAGCTGCTCCCGAAGCCAGGAGAGCAGAAAAAGCACACGAAATTCGTTGGACCAACAGTCACTCAGATCCAGACCGACTATGTCCAATTGCCGCCTCAATGGGATGAAATTGTTGCCCATCCCCGTGTTGTCGGCATAACCCAGGGGACATTGGCCATGGACCCAACATCGCTGATTATCCCCGCCATTGAGGCTCTCTGCAATGACCCTCAACTTCTTCTACTAGTAGCAACGCCCCATGTCGAGGAGGTGACATCCAGAATAGGAGAACTACCAAATGTACGATATGTCAAATGGATTCCCTACCATCTTTTGCTGCCACAGCTCTGTCTTCTCATCACAAATGGCGGATACGGAAGTATAACACAAGCCCTGTCTCATAAAGTACCTCTGATATGCGCGGGCCAAACAGAGGACAAGAAAGATACATCAGCTCGTGTCGGTTGGGCTGGGGCAGGAATCGATCTCAAGACAGATACTCCCTCGGCAGAACAGCTTCGGAAGGCCACGAGGCTGATACTGTGCGACAAGGGGTATGTCGAGAGAGCAGGACGCTTGGGTGACGAGCTTAACGAGCTTGGGGGCGCGGATCGGGCTTCTGAGCTTTTGGAGGACCTGGCTGAGTCTAAGGCCAGATAATAGGTTAGTAGGATACCTGGAGATATGATTGGAAGACGGGATATATATACCACCTTAGAGATGAATAATGCCCGCTATATGATCAGATTGAACTGGAGAGCGCGTCTGTAGGATAGACTGAAGTCAAAGTAGCATAGTATAGAAGAATCAAGTTGAATTCTCACTGATAACTAGCAATTGCCTTTCCTGTTGCAAAGCCCCTATATATTGTGTAAAGTCTCTTGATGCTATGATGCCTGGGTAAGACCATGTATTTCGAGTCTTTTATGAAAGCGACGCAACCTGGTCTGAGTTCGTCTTGAAGACCGTCTGCTAGTCGGAGAATGATTCGAGGTTTTATCCAGGTATCCTGTACTTTCTTCGCGCTATGGGAAGATATAATCAGTATTACTGCTGATGCGAGTAACGATAGTATGTGACTTACCTGAGAGAAACGAATATGTCTTTCGAAGATTGGACTTCTGATCGAATATCCCTGCAGGCCCGCAGCAGAATAACAAGACTCTGAAAGTCGTCAGAGCAAAGATCTTGAACTTGCATCGTTATAGGGAGAAGCCGTAGATTGTATTTAACCGAAAAACATAGCAATGACAAGCGAAGACGCTCTGTAACCTAGGACTTGCATAATGTCGTACGGCTAGTCAGTATTAAGCTCCTAAGTATGTGGATGGGTAGCGCGAGTTACGGTATACCTCCAGACCATCGCAGCGCCTGGCGCAAGTCATCCTCAACGACCGATCTCAAGTAACAAATAGTTCTTGTGATCGCCACCAAGACTCAGGGATGATTCTAGGTCCGTGAGTAGGAATGCGGAGAGTATGCTTGGAACGGCCCGCTCTTGTGCCGGTCCATAGAGCCAGATCTGGTGAACTTGCTGGTTGTCAAAGAGGCCTTGGCTGGTGATATAATGCTGGCTGAATTTCCACAAGAAGAAGAAGAGATGAACGGCAACAAGACAAACCTCCCTCCAAGTGTAGCTACTGTTCGTGATGCACCAGAACTAAAAAGTTGATCAACGATGACTTGACTGGAAGAGCGTGCGAGAAGGGAGAAGGAGTATCGATTTGTAGTTGAAGGTTGTAGTAAAGTCGAGAATGGAGCAACTTCGATAGCGCTCCGATAGAGACAGGAAGGATGGATCGTGATCATGCTAGCTGTGAAGCGAATATGGCGTTAGAACAATTTCCGTTGGGTGTTCAGAACGCGAACAAGATGGCAGAACTGACCTGGGTAGTTTGAACTAGAACAATGAAAACTGTTGTGTTCTAAATAAAAAATAAGGACAACTTGACACGATTCATCATTCAGTCTTCGAGATAGAGGATGGGAAGGGAAGAGTTGAGGAGTGCATCGAGTGTTGCCTGGGCCTGAGCAGCTGCCGGTCGGTGGGTGTGGTTTGAAAGAGCTGCCCCTCTGAAAAGCGAACAGCTGGGTAGACAGCACAACCTGGGACGTCCGAGACCACAAAACACCTCATGATACATAATGAACATGATAAAGGAACGAAACGGACGAGGTAGAGTATTTATTCGCCAGTGTAATTATATTCTACGATGTGGTATATGGCCTACGGCCAACTTTCTACTGTGCCACTGAAAATCCAAGGCCCGCTCAAAACAAAGACAAAGAAGATTGGAGTGACACTTAAGGAACAGGAAATGGATCTGATATCTGAAGCGTGTATATGATGTTCAGTGACAATAATATGAACGAGTGACATAGACGCCATAGGGGGACTAGAGGCATCATTTCCGATGCATGCAAGGCATGTCGAGCCAAAACACCAATTCTAAATATCGTGACGACTTTGACGGGCATCGAAAACACTGAATGGGCATTATGTTGGGCCTCGGGAATTCGTAGTAGACGCTAGGGGTGGGACATGAACATCAAATGTCCCCGCAGAGAGCATGTTTGGCAGATCACTAAAAGGCGTCAAGCCTGACCGAGAACGAGGAATACTACGATAGATTGACCAAAAGAACAGTATTAAATTGTATTCAAGGAGATACCGTCACATATGTCGATAGAGAGATGCACTTCCTTCACGATGCTACAGTTAGGGCACAACAAGAGATCCAACCTGTAAGGATAGGTCCTCATACTTTAAGATCATCACAATAGAGCGAGTTTCTTCTTCAAGTCCCGACACAAGGCCAAGATCTCAATGAAAAAAAAGGTTCAAAATAAAAAATTTGGTTGCCGCTCTGCAATGAAGGCAGGTAACACGAAGCCCACGAAAAGGGAACAACATGCTTCGCAGTCCTCGGGCTTCTTGATCCCCGAGTGCCACCGGTCGTTTGGCATAATGAAGGAAAGAAGAAAGGAAAGAGTTGGAGGAGGTAGCATCAGGAGGATTATATAGACGTATGAGCCAGGGCGGTGAAGCTCCAGCTGATCTGCCACTCTGCGGCTCTGCGCTGCCCTCAGCAGCTGGTCGATCCTCCACGGGGAAGGCCATGGAAGACCCTGGTTCAATGCGACCTCAGTAATATGCAAGTCATCGAGCTAAGGGTCTGGCGGCTGTCAGACCGGGGGGGTTGGGCAGGCTGCGTTGGTAGAGTGGGGGTGGGCTGGACGTTATATCGACGACCGCTCCGGACACTCGTCTGTGATCTTGCCAAACAGAAGAGCAGCAAAAATCGGACACCATTTTTAGAATGACATGCCAATTTCTAGCTTCCGAGGCATATCCAGAATGTCATATCTGACTTTTGTGGTGGTTGCCCTGAGAATTTTAAAGGGGGCGATTTGGGCGCATCTGCGTCCATCAGCAATTTTGATATTGGAGATACTTGGCAGTGACAGGCGCAACACCATGGAGTGTAATCATGGAAAATACAATAGAACAGAGCAACAGGATACGGACATGTACAGGTCATGAACAGTTTACGTTTACTAGTGTCTAGGGGCTATATTCCTGTTATGCAGTCAATGATATGGAATTACATTACATAGAATTACAGTCAACCGACAAGACATCACTGTGAACATTGAAACAATACAAAGTCCCTGAAATCAAATATAAGTCAGTTGGGCCTTGTGGTCGTCGAGCAATCATGGTGGCTCCATTCAGGGGACGCGTCAATCTAGTCGTCGAGCCATGCCGCTGCACCATGACAGTGATTCAGATGCTAAACAATCAGCTCGTTGACAGCCGACCACCTCTAGAATCTTTCAAGCCAATCGAAATACAGCTCTGCTCGCAGCTCCTTGGCCTCTGCCACCTCAGGGCTTCTCACCGCGCCAGCCCTTCCTCAGCAGCCCGGCCGCACAATCACTGACCTAGACCCACTTCAGGGAAGCAATATTTATATCTCTCCTCCCTCAATTTCTCTCTCTTCTTCTTCCTCTTCCTCTTCAT